AGGTCTGACCGCTGATGGTGGGGGCGAGCAAGGTGGGGGACATGAAGCAATCCGGAGCCTGCTGAGCGGAGAGAGCAGATAGGTCTGTATAGAGTTAGCAGGTCACAGAAGTTGGAGAAGCAAGGCTGTGAAGGGATTTGATGTCAAGGACAAGGATTTTGAACTCTGAGGAATGGGGAACCAGTGGAGCCGAGCGAGGAAGGGGGTTAGGTTCACGGAGCTTGCTGATAAAAGCAATGCCTTCTCTCCTTGCAGTTGCAACCTAACGCAATTGAGACCCTGGAAGTTTAACAATTGCTCAGTCACTATCAGACTCTTCGGAAACCCGCTGGACTGCAGCTGTGATCTCACCTGGTTGCTGACTACATCACAAAAGGTCCTGATGGAAAGGTAAGAATCCCATCAGCCTGAATCCATCAGCTTCCCCATTAACAGCAACAACTTGCCCTACATCTCGAAGGCACTGAAGCTGTGGTGTTTCATCCCTCAACTTGTCTTGTTGACAACTACTTACAGGCTCAACAGAGTTCTTCACGTCCAATGCATGTTACTGAGCCCACCACCATCTCTCCCACATTTCAAGTGGAGAAATCTACTCATTGTCTGAGCAATTCAGTCCAGAATTTTCGCAAATTCTTATAAACACAGTTCATGCTCTGAAGCTGTTTTGTTCTGTATCTTTCTTTCAAGAACAAAAGGAAATGGCTTCAAAGTCAAGACTGAATTGAACAATGTTCAAAATTCTATATACTCTAAAACACTAGTCAAATAGAAGAAATTGAATCGTGGATGAAATTCCTTCCCCCATTGTGGTGGAATTCAGTTTGAGTTGAAGTCTCCCTCATTTTGAAATGTATATATATATTTGTGAGAAACAAACAATTTAAGAAAAGCATAAGTAAAATTTAATTTAAGTTTTGAATTAAGTTTGTATTGGAATCCACCTAATGTCCTGTAGGAATCTTATAGGATATCGGTAAAAGCACTAGCCTCGCAAGCGAGGACCGGTTTTGATTTATGAGCAGGTGGGAAACCGTAGGCAAGTTTTCTTACTCCACACGCCTGTTTACCTAACAATAAGTAGGAACCCGGTTGGTCACTTTCTGGGGGTAAGAATCCCTTCAAAATATGAAGTCAATTCACTTTACAGAATATTCTCTGAAGTATTATGCCTTTTAAAAGAGTTGTGTGAGTTCTTGTCACCGATTTTGTGTTTAACTTTGTCTTGTGTGTTGCAGGGCATCTGATACTGTGTGTTACAATCATACACAGCACGGAGAGAGCTTATCGACATATCTACTGAGTGAGTGTAACTTAGAAGAAAGCGCGTTGCAGTTGCAGACTGATGCTGGAGCGCTGGTCACTAACCCTCTGCTGCGTACAACGGCTGTGTTACACGGTTCTAAGGTCAGCATGGAGACAACAAGCGCAATGTCCTCAAGTCACAATCAAAGTCAGCACCAATTCGTCTTTGGTACCGGCCGACAGCACACATTTCCTTCCAGTGGTTCCACTGCCCAAGGAACCGCAGGGTTAAAAGATCACAACCAGGCCACAATTATTTTGCTTCCGCCCGAGGTAAAAAAATCACCTCCATCGCAACAGATGACCAACAGAGGTCAACTTCACCCATCAACAATGGTGGCCACCGAGCGGTCAAAAACACCGTTGTCTGTCTTGGCCACTTTTACAACGGCAAAGCAGGTGGTGCCAGTGTTTTTGGTTAGCGAAGACGAGCATTCGGAGTCCTTGAAGGAGGGTGAAGAAATAAAGGAGAAGTCTGAACACATGCAAGCCGGGGAATGCAACTACGACCCCTGCAGACACTGGCAGGTCCCTTGCCATGACTTGCAGCTGCTGACCGGCTGCAGCTGTCCTACCATGACTGGTGAGGATGTCAAACCCAAACCAGCCAAGATCCAAAAGGTGCTGAAGATCTCGGACAGATCAGGCGAGATTTACTGGTGCGCGCCCAACTCGGTGGTGCTGCACTATTATATCATCTACCAGTCCGATGAAAACAAACATCTGTATAAGACAGACATCATTAACCCCACGTACCGGAGGTACACTTTACACGATCTGGCCTCAGACACCACGTACCACGTCTGTGTCATCGCTGTGAACAAGGCAGGAACAAGCCCCTCGAGCACCATCTGGCCTGCCAAAGGTGGCTGTTACATTTTCAAGACAAAACCAAACTACAACAGTATCTTCTACACTGTCTGCACCATCGCTATTGTCATTCTCCTGATCCTCGTGGTCGTGCTGACGGCCTGCCTGTGCAGGATTCATCAAAAGCGAGGACTGATGGATTCAACTCTCCTGAATTTGGGTCCTCTATCCCTGCAGAACCCAGCGTACGACGAGCACATGGACCGATCAGCACCGAGAGCATCAATCAGTACCATAAACATGGAGGATCAACAGGACACCTGATACCAACCTCCGAACACACAACAAATTACATTTGTGTAGCGCCTTTCATGTCAGGAGGATGTCCCAAAGCGTTGCAACAATGGAGTTCATCTTCAGTAGCAAACTATAGAACGTTTCAAATCAGCATTTTACTGCTTTCTAGACCTCACTACTTTCAACCCTTACTCAATGCCGCCGTGTAACGTGCAGACCACCCGTTCATCGTGTCTGGGATAGACCTTTGTTTCTCAGTGAATCACTCAAACAGACTGATATTTTAAATGTGCCACTGTTTTCTAAACTTTGCAATAAATATTTATGTATCTTTATTGCTTGTTTCTTCGTGGACTGGCTTTTACCACTAAAAAGAACAAATTCCACAGTTGTTACAGCAATCTTTAAAAACTGAAAGCTTCAGTGTATCCAACTGACTCAAGATGCCAGCCTGGCTCAGTTGGTGACACTCTTCCCTCTGAGTCAAAAGGTTGTGGGTTCAAACCCCATATACAGTCGAAGCTGACAGTCCAATGCAGTACTGGGGGGAGTGCTGCATTGTTGGAGGCGCTGTACTTCAGATGAATTGTTAATAATAATAATAATAATCCTTGCATTTGATATAGCGCTTTTCACGTCAGGAGGACGTCCCAAAGCGCTTCACAGAACACACTGTAAAGTGAATTGACTGTATATTTGTGGGCGAACGCGGCAGCGAATTGCGCATAGCAATGTCCCTCTAACAGTCGTAGATTGAAAATGACCAATTTATTATTGTTTTGGTTTTGGAGGGATTATTATTAGGCTGTGTGTGGAGTAAGGAAACTTGCCCCAGGTTTCGCCCTCTGCCTGGAATTGAACTCAGGTCTCTCGCTTGCAAAGCGAGTGCTCTAACCACTGAGCTACAGGGCTCCACAGTATATCCTGCAAAGGGATATCTTCTGACATTAATCCAAACGTAAGGATTATTATTATTAAGTCAGAAGGTGGTGGGTTCAAGTTCCACATTGCTGGGAGGTACCTTTCTTGGGATGTGACATTTAAACCAAAGACCTTCTGTTCAGACAAATGTTCAGTTGGACATTAAAGATTCCACCCTGAAAAGACAAGGGAATTTCTCTCTCCCAGTTTCCTGGCTAACAATCCCCCAAATAAAATTGTTCACTCACTCCATTTGTAGAACACTGCTGTGTGCAACTGGCTGCTGGGTTCACCGACATGCTGCACTGTCACTACACTTCCCAGTAAATATAGTGAAGTGCTTTGAGACATCCTCTGGAACATGAAAGTATGATATCAAATGCAAATTTTCTGGATGAGGAATCTCTCATTTATTGTCTTGTATTAAACAATGTGATTTCAAGTATAATAATCTTTACAAATCCTTAAATTTTCTTTCATTGTTAAAAATACTGTGCCATTGCAATCTCTAACATGGCACATTGTCTTTAACCATACTTTATATATAAACCTTATCATATTTACTCTACACTACATCAAATATGCAAGGTCCCTTTAAATGTAAACTCCAAAGGAATTGCATAATAATAATCCTTGCATTTGATATAGTGCCTTATCACATCATTGAGACGTCTCAAAAAGCTTCACAGAATAAACTGTAAAGTGAATTGATGGTATATTTTGTGGGCGAAACACGGCAGCCAATTGCACACAGCAGTGGCCCACAAACAACCGAGGACTGAATGACCACATTTTTTTAAAAAGGGCTCGGAAAAACAATCTGCCAACCAACTAACAATCAGGTTCCTACTTACTTCTAGAGGTGTGTGGAGTAAGGAAACTGCCTAATGTTTTTCCCTGGCTGGGAATCGAAACCAGGTCCTCGCTTGTGAGGCGAGTGCTCCATAAGTATGGTAAAACGTAGCAGCATCAGACTTGGCGTGTTTCAGAAGAGGTTGGCTATGAACCTCCTTCTCATTAACCACAAGAAACCTTGCAGCCGGCAAGTCTTTACTGTTGTTTTTTTTATCTCATGTAAGCCTCCCTAGCTACCAAATGACTACCCTTTGCTTCCGTCCCTTTAGATAGATTCTTTAATACCCAGTGATGTCAGTTAGCAAAGGAGTCTCCTGAATGGTACTTTCTCAAAGGCATTTTGGAAGCCGAGGTCTTTTAGGTCATATGGCTTCCCAGTCAAATTTGGATGTCACCTCCTCAAAATGTCTTGGGTGGTCAGACAAGATCGACCCCTTCTAAGCCACGCTGGCTGTCTTTTATAATAATAATCCTTGCATCTTTCATGCTTCAAAAGAGCTTCATGGAATATACTGTAAAATGGAGAGGGGAAAGATGACCTAAAGAGCAATCCAAGCAGTAGGTCTTGAAACAGACTTTGAACAAGGTGAGGGAGGGGGTCAGTAGGAGGGAATTTCAGAGAACAGGGTCATCAGAAACTTCAAACCCAACTCCCCTTTATGCACGGAATTAACAGTGACCCCAACATAGACTCCAAGCGATCATTGCTCATGGTCCTCAAGCTGAAAATCTTCATTTTACCTTTTTTAAAAAATTTCTTCATGATGTGTAATCAACAAGAGTTGTCTATCAGACACAAAACAGTTACTCACCAAATCTGTAACTCCTGCCAAGGCAAACAAGCCTAAGGCTAGGTTGAATTTCTCGTGCACAATCAGATAGCCAAGATATGGCGACAGGCTGATCCTTGCCACGCAGAGTAGGTTGGGAATTGTCCATGGATTTTCATACTGGAAACAAAATTGAGGGCATTGGATTCATGTCCATTGGTTCATTCCTATTAAGCACTGAAATATTGGCAACTACTTCCCTAATAAACACAATTATTAGGCTATTATAATAAGCCTTACATTTGACCTAGTGTTTCATCATGTCGGCAAGACGTCTCAAAGCTCTTCACAGGATTTACTGTAAAGCGGTGTGATTTGTAGGTGGAATAAGAAAACAACAACTTGCATTTATATAGCACTCTCCACACAGGGTAGTGTCTCAGAGCGCTTGGATACGCATGGAATAAGAAAAGACCAGGCAGGATCCTCCAAGTCCTGTCAATGAGCCAACCTGGCCTAAAGTCCTGCATAATGGAGTACAGAGTGAGAGAGAGAGTGGGTAAGAGAGTGTGAGAGCAAGTGCCATGCAGAATGGGAGAGAATGTGCAAGAGAGTGGGAGATAAGACAGTGCCCGAGAGAGAGTGAGTGTGACAGAGAACTAGAAATCAGGAGTGACCGAGGGACGTTGTGAGCATTGAATGAGCGAGGCTCAGTGACTGAGGGTGATTGAGGAGGCTCAGTGACTGAGAGTGATTGAGGAGGCTCAGTGACTGAGGGTGATTGAGGAGGCTCAGTGACTGAGAGTGATTAAGGCTCAGTGACTGAGGGTGATTGAGGAGGCTCAGTGACTGAGAGTGACTGAGGCTCAGTGACTGAGAGTGACTGAGGAGGCTCAGTGACTGAGAGTGACTGAGGAGGCTCAGTGACTGAGAGTGATTGAGGAGGCTCAGTGACTGAGAGTGACTGAAGAGGCTCAGTGACTGAGAGGGATTGAGGAGGTTCAGTGACTGAGAGAGATTGAGGAGGCTCAGTGACTGAGGGTGATTGAGGAGGCTCAGTGACTGAGAGTGATTGAGGAGGCTCAGTGACTGAGGGTGATTGAGGAGGCTCAGTGACTGAGAGTGACTGAGGAGGCTCAGTGACTGAGAGTGATTGAGGAGGCTCAGTGACTGAGAGTGACTGAAGAGGCTCAGTGACTGAGAGGGATTGAGGAGGTTCAGTGACTGAGAGAGATTGAGGAGGTTCAGTGACTGAGAGAGATTGAGGAGGCTCAGTGACTGAGAGTGACTGAGGAGGCTCAGTGACTGAGAGTGACTGAGGAGGCTCAGTGACTGAGAGTGATTGAGGAGGCTCAGTGACTGAGAGTGACTGAGGCTCAGTGACAGAGTGACTGAAGAGGCTCAGTGACTGAGAGTGACTGAGGAGGCTCAGTGACTGAGAGTGACTGAGGAGGCTCAGTGACTGAGAGTGACTGAGGAGGCTCAGTGACTGAGAGGGATTGATGAGGCTCAGTGACTGAGTGACTGAGGAGGCTCAGTGACTGAGAGGGATTGAGGAGGTTCAGTGACTGAGAGGGATTGAGGAGGCTCAGTGACTGAGTGATTGAGGAGGCTCAGTGATTGAGGAGGCTCAGTGATTGAGAGTGACTGAGGAGGCTCAGTGACTGAGAGTGATTGAGAGGCTCAGTGACTGAGAGTGACTGACGAGGCTCAGTGACTGAGAGTGACTGATGAGGCTCAATGATTGAGAGTGACTGAGGAGGCTCAGTGACTGAGAGTGATTGAGGCTCAGTGATTGAGAGTGACTGAGGAGGCTCAGTGACTGCGAGTGACTGAGGCTCAGTGACTGAGAGTGACTGACGAGGCTCAGTGACTGAGAGGGATTGATGAGGCTCAGTGACTGAGTGACTGAGGAGGCTCAGTGACTGAGTGATTGAGGAAGGTCCAGTGACTGAGAGTGACTGAGGAGGCTCAGTGACCGAGAGTGACTGAGGTTCAGTGACCGAGAGTGACTGAGGCTCAGTGACCGAGAGTGACTGAGGCTCAGTGACTGAGAGTGACTGACGAGGCTCAGTGACAGAGTGATTGAGGCTCAGTGACTGAGAGTGACTGAGAGTGACTGTGAGAGTGACTGAGAGTGACTGAGAGTGATTGAGAGAGTGACTGAGAGTGACTGACGAGGCTCAGTGACTGCGAGTGATTGAGAGGCTCAGTGACTGAGAGTGACTGAGGAGGCTCAGTGACTGCGAGTGACTGAGGCTCAGTGACTGAGAGTGACTGACGAGGCTCAGTGACTGAGAGGGATTGATGAGGCTCAGTGACTGAGTGACTGAGGAGGCTCAGTGACTGAGTGATTGAGGAAGGTCCAGTGACTGAGAGTGACTGAGGAGGCTCAGTGACCGAGAGTGACTGAGGTTCAGTGACCGAGAGTGACTGAGGCTCAGTGACTGAGAGTGACTGAGGAGGCTCAGTGACCGAGAGTGACTGAGGTTCAGTGACCGAGAGTGACTGAGGCTCAGTGACCGAGAGTGACTGAGGCTCAGTGACTGAGAGTGACTGAGGCTCAGTGACCGAGAGTGACTGAGGCTCAGTGACTGAGAGTGACTGAGGAGGCTCAGTGACCGAGAGTGACTGAGGTTCAGTGACCGAGAGTGACTGAGGCTCAGTGACTGAGAGTGACTGAGGCTCAGTGACTGAGAGTGACTGACGAGGCTCAGTGACTGAGAGTGACTGAGGCTCAGTGACTGAGAGTGATTGAGGCTCAGTGACTGAGAGTGACTGAGGCTCAGTGACTGAGAGTGATTGAGAGGCTCAGTGACTGAGAGTGACTGAGGCTCAGTGACTGAGAGTGACTGAGGCTCAGTGACAGAGTGATTGAGGCTCAGTGACTGAGAGTGACTGACGAGGCTCAGTGACTGAGAGTGACTGACGAGGCTCAGTGACTGAGAGTGACTGACGAGGCTCAGTGACTGAGTGACTGAGAGCCTCAGTGACCCAATGCGATGTGAAGGCTCAGTGACTGAGTGACTTGAGGAGCGATCCTCATGGCTGTGACTGACCGAGTGACTGCCTCTCGGTGTCGGCGGTTGCCTTACCAGCTCTGGCGATCCACCGGCTGCCGCACTGCCCGCGCTGAGCTGGTCGGCGCTCTGCTGCTGCGTGTCGGGCCTGCGCCCGCACTGGGAGCCGCGGTCTGGGCCCTCGGCCACGGCCTCCTGCCTTCCCGCGGCCGGTTTCCCAGCGCCGTAGCCGCGAGCTGCGGCCGACAGATCCCCCCAGAGGCCGAGCGGCGGGGCCCGGAGCCTGGGCCCGAGCGGCAGCGGGACAGCCCGGCCCGGGCCGAGCGGCGGCAGCAACAGCGCGGAGCCCAGGAGCCGCCAGCAGCCGCGCCGCCGCCGGGGGGTCGCAGCCTTGGGCCTCGGAGGCAGCGTCTGCCCGCTGGCCGCCTCCCTCAGCGCCCGGGCCAGGCCGCTCGGCGCCCACCGGCCCGGGTTACGCGCCAGCAGCCACATGGCCGGGGCCAAGGCACAGACGGCGGCCCCACCTGAGCGTCTCTCTCGCTCGCTCTCACGCACACACACACACACACAACAACAAGTAAGTGGTGAGCGGCCGCTCGCTGCCCGCCCCCGAGGTTGGCACAGGGGTAACGCTCTTCGCCTCTGAGTCAGAAGATCGTGAGTTCAAGCCTCACCCCCAGCACTTCAAACTCAACACGAGTAACAACGGACGGCCCAAAACCTTTCGTTTTAAGGTGTTACTCAAGTGTGAGCCCCAAAAAAACACAGCAACAACTCACATTTATTTATAAAGCGCCTTTGGCACAGAGAGAGGCGACCCCCACCCCCCCCCCCAGCACTCAGCCCCCGCCACGCAAAATCCGCGATAGAATTCAAAAGAAAAGGAAAAAAAATCTTACCATCAAAGAAAGAAAGACGCGGTTATCGCAAAATTCACCGTAAAAAAATATCAGACCCGTTAGTCCAACGAGGCTTCCGAATTTGCTTTTTTTTTGTTCATAGCCGGTTGTCGGATCTGGAAATGCATCGCCTGAAAGGATGGCGGAAGCAGATTCCATAACAACGACGACAAGAAGATTGCATTTACAGAGCGCCTTTCACGTCGGGAGGACGTCCCAAGGCGCTGGACAGTTGGGTCGGGAACCGAGCATTGGGGTGGGGGGGGAGATGGTCAGGGTGAGGGGAGGGAGGGAAGGGAGGGGATAACAACTTTCAAGAGAGAAATGGATAGATATTTGGGGAGGGCAAATTTGCAAGGCTACGGGGAGAGCGCGGGGGAGTGGGATTAATTTGGATCGCTCTTTCAAAGTCGGCGATAGCCACACAGTCCTTTGAATTTGCCGTGTAGGCGTGAACGATTTTTAAGTTCCGAAATTTCCAAAGGCGTTTCTGCTGGATAATGTTCCAAGCACGGTCTCTGAAAGAGAGAAAGGTTTGGGGAAAAGTGCTGTATTGTCCCCGTCTTCTTTAAAATCTTGAAAATGAGCAGCAAAGGAATTCGTGAAAAAAATCCCATTCTGATATTTTATGCAATCGATGACGTTACTGTCACTTTCTAGCTGTTGCAGGCGAACAAAGTGGTCCTGTTTTTTTTGGAGACGAAACAATCAAAAAAAAAGGTCAAGTTTGGCCTTGAAAGCAGAAATTAAATTAAACAGAGTTGAAAAAAGTCAATCCTTTCATTACAGGCAATGCATTGAGGTTGTTAAGATGACCTGTGATGTCCATAACGGAAAACAAGATCATTGAGCCAGTCTTTCTCTTAAAATAGCTTGCAGTCTTCAAGAAGTTCTCCCTTCCAGTGCCATGGGACGTCTCTCCAACGTGAAGGGCGCTATTCAAGTGTCATTTGTTGTTGTTCTCCAAAAACATAAGCAGTTTTTTTTAAATTCCCAAATCTTTCAAGAGCCTTCCCTTTGATATCAAACGAACATTGCAATGATGGAGTAACTCCCCTTACTCATTTGCGATTTCAAATAAGTTAGGAAATTCCCAACGGTTTAATGCATATTCACAAATTTTGTTTACGCAATGCACCACAGGATCAAGTACACGAGAGAAGTCCAAGTCTTTAGTGCAAAAGCCCTCCTGATGAATAATACAATGGTGCTTGCATAGCTTGCGTTCCAAAAACGTTTCCAACAAAGAATCACAAGCAATCCTCTTTCCATTCATAGCAGGTCATAATATCACTACAATTCAGAGCGATTACCTGACAAATTGCAGGCTAAAATAAACTCTTTAGTGACTCTCATCTCCCCAATTAATCCATCGATCTGGGTTAAACGTGTCAGACCATGGCTCAGTCGCTCACACTCTCGCCTCAGACTCAGAAAGTTGGGGTTCAAGCACCCCACAAGTCTGGGGCACTTTGAGCTCAGTACAGGCTGATGCTCCAGCGCAGCGCTGGGGAGTGAGAGCTCCACATTGTCGGAGTTGTTAAACCTCACTCCTCATTCGTGCCTTGTTTAGGGCGGATGTTAAAGATCTGCCACAGCACTGTCAGGGAATTGTGTGGAAAATTCCTGCACGTACACACAACTAATTCCTGGAATTTCACTCTCAAAATATACCGTCAATTCACTTTACAGTATATTCTGTGAAGCCCTTTGAGATGCCTCTAAGACGTTATAAGGTGCTATATCAAATGAAAATATTATTATTATTGCAGCCAAGTAAATGTTCTGTCCACATCTCTAATAGTTAAGATTTGCTGGGGCCATCGCATTCTATTATTAATAATAATCCTTGCATTTGATATAGCACATTATCACATTGAGAGATGTCTCAATATGTACCGTAATAATCTTTAGTGCCTTATCACGTTGTTGAGACTTCTCAAAGTGCTTGACTAGTTATACGGTAAAGTGTAGAGACGGTATTTTATGTCAGTATGTCAGCAATGTCCCACAAACAGCAAACAATGCAATCATGCAAGCAATAATTTGCATTATTATTAATTTGCATTTGCATTGCCAATTTGCATGGCAATGTCCCACAAAAATGTTTTTGCATACATTTCCATACAATGTACAATTTTGTCAAAGAAATAAACTATGCTTTAAATATTCAGTTTAAAATACAAGATAAATAAGGTATAGAAAGGAATTGGTAGAAAATTTAATGAGTGTAGGTAGCAGGAAATAACAAGGTAACAATTGAAGTACTTATTTATTTTTAATTACAAATGGTTTAATGTATATTAATATGTACAATTCTTTATTATGCACATAAAAGCATAATATTACTGTTACAAATCTGGTCTCAACATTTGAGAACCTTTACTACCGTAATATTACTGTTTCAACTGCACATCCATCGATATCAAACTCAGGGAGATGCCATTTCCCGCTATGAGTCACCAAGGTAAGGATTTAAAAAAAAACTCGCCCATAGCTTGTGCAATTTTAGTGGAATCTAAATTGAAGAGAAATTGACTGATATGTCACCTAAAATGGCAGGGTATCAGCTCTCCTAACAGTTTTAAGTCATTGTGAAAAAGCGAAAGTGCACAACAAAAGAATGCTCTGTCCACAGGACCGAATGACAATATTCTGCAATGTCGGGGGTTACATGGTTTGCAGCTGGTAAAGTCTCGGTCCCTTTTTTAAAAGGTAGCCCTGATCATTCAAAGAGCTGATAAATCCCTCAAAGTCAGCCACCTGCAAAATGTAAAACAAAACACAATTAGGTTTTACATGCAATGGATTCTTTCGGTAATATTCCAACACAAATGTAATTCATACAAAAATAAATGTTTCTAAGACAGATTGCTACTTTTTTTGAAATATTATACAAATTAGTTTCACAACAATTTAGTTTTTTTAATTTTTCTTTTTTTTCACACACACAGGAAAACAAACAGAATTGTTCTTTGCCCTTATAGAGGATTTATTACTCGCCTATATCCCCCACCCCCACCATTCTACCTCCCACCAGAATTTTTCAGGAGTTCCTAGGTCACTGGAATTTGACAAGCCACCAAGAAGCACAGCAAAACAGTAGTCTTTAATGTTTTACTGGTCATTGTCTTTCCCCCAATCCTTGCAGACAGGGTTTAGTACCTCTACATGCAGATCATGATTGGAACAAAATAACAGATTGAATTTGTGGTTCATAAAAATCCTTCATTGTCTTGCTTCCTTTCCCTTTTGATATCGCAGAGTAATGTCTCCAGGCTGTCACAGACATACATCTACATTGGCAGTTGAAAGTATATTTGTGAAATAAATTGGCACATAACTCCTTGCTTGGGATAAAACTGCTCAGGCACTATAATATGTTCCACCAAAAGGAATACCCAACATGAAATTTAACTACCGGCAACAAATGTCATCTGAGGTTGGGTTTCAAATCTGTATCCCTAGAACTATACTGTTAGAGCTGTTTGCTTACTTTATCCGAGTACTATAATGTTAGAGCTATAGAATCATAGAGCACAGAAGGAGGCCATTCAGCCACCTTCTGTGACTGTGTTCCAGCTCTTTGAAAGAGCTATCCAATTAGTCCCACTCTTTCCCCCATGGCCTGGCAAATTAAGTTTGTTTACCATGTCCCCTGCACTCGTTAGAGCTAAGTTTGCTTACTATGTCCCTAGATTGCTAGAGCTATGTTTGGCTATTTTTAAACTGAAAACATCAAGGTCTCCAGAATACTCTTTTTGACCATATTTACACTGTTGAAGTTAGACATTTGAAGAACAAAGGAGATGCATTTTACCTGTATATGTATTTCTCTTGCTAACTGCTTGAGCTGTTGAACATCAAAAACATTATTGTAAGTCTGTTCTCCTATCCTGTTCAGAGCGGCAATAAACCTTTTCGCCTGAGATTGTTTGCTCATACCGGAACCATGTTGTGAACGATGAAAATCCAATCTCCCAAACTCATCAGAGTAAGTGTCTAGCAAGCTATTAAGACGGTAAAATGTTATGAAAATAATAAAATTAGATCACAGAAAGGAAAATATTTAATTACACATTTTTTATTTCCAACTGGTGACTATTTTCAATTGAGAGGGACTCATGGAAAACTAGACAGCTTCAGTTAATGTCTGAGGACAATTCATAAGACTAAGAGGCCACGATGATTAGGATTATTCCCACAAAAGTTATAGAATAATAGAATGTTTAAACGCAGGCACCATTTGGTCTTTTGTGTCTATGTTGGTGCCAGCTCCCCCACTGGAGCTAGCTGCTCTGTTCCCACACTATTTAAAATTATTTACACTTAAATTTATTCATTCCTTTTTTTAAAAAAAGCATGACCACAGAATAATGTATACTATTAAGCAAATATTTCACATTTCTACTTCTACAGGTCGTAAGAACTCAAGAATCTTAAACAATAAAACAAAATACGCACAGTCACACCACTTTATAGCATATCCTGTGAAATACATTGAGACGCCTGAACAATGTGAGAAGGTGCTATATCAAATGCAAGGTTTGTTATTCTAAGTAAACAGGAATAATGAAGTTGATGTCTTACAGTATGTTGAAATCGATGAGGTCTGATGAGTTACCCATCTATTAATTAAATGTCATTCAATGATAAAACATGTCATTCATACAATATACTGCTAGAACATATAACTGCAGGTTACTATAATAATAATGTTTGCATTTGATAGCAGCAATAGGCAACAGAAAGCACGTACATTTACTGGATTTCCTCAATTATGAGCAATGTTTTTTATTAATAAAATGGGTTAATAATTCTGCATTCAAAGTCATTGTAATCTTTACTGCGTTACCTTTTTGTTATAATTAACAAATATTCACAACTTTATTGTAATGCAAAGTTGTTACACAACAAAAAAACGATCAAACTGTAAAAGTTTTACCTGTGTTTCATGATGTCCACCACATCTTCTGCATCACCTTTTGTTGCTTTTTCTCGGAGTTCTAACCTTGCTCTCGCCTTTCAAAACAAAGAGGAGACTCCATTGTTTGGTTGTTCCACTGTATACAGAACGACACTGGAAACATTGCTGAAGGAGTCTACTTTCACAGTTGAAATGTTTGAAACAACAACTTGCATCTATACAGCATCCCTCACACTGGGTAGCGTCCCAGAGTGCTTGACAGTGCTGAAGCACGATGTCGAGCCAGGGGGAGGGTAGGGCAGAGGTGAACGTAGGCACGGTTCAAAATGAAGGTCTTCAGGAGCAACCTGAAAATGGAGAAGGAGGGGGCAGTCGGAGGGATAGAGTGTTTCTGAATTTAGGAGTGTAGTGGCTGAATGTGTGGCCATCAATGGTGGAACGGAGGGCACAAGGAACAAGCAAGTGGCTGGAACCAGTCGAGCGGAGGCGGAGTATAATCACTTAAGTAATACATTCACCGAGTCTGTCAGCAATGAAAATGATATTATAATTAAAATATTTAACTTCAAATAAAATTTCTCACTCTTACTGACAGGAAGAACCTCTGTTAATTCAATGGGGTCAGTCTTGATCAAGCCAGGATCCATTGCGAAACCACTGAATTCTGGGAATATAAAGCAACAGCGAGGTATTGCTTCATATTGACTGGTGATGGGATTTTCTGGAATCCAGTGGCTCCAAGTAGCTGTCAAGACTTGCTTAAAGCAACTGTCCCCAATGAAATAATGGACCCACACACTATGCACACAAGATTGTAAGTTGAAAGCCTAAGTTAGAAAAAAGTTAGAAAAAAAACATCTGCTCCCAGCGCCTTGTGAACGTTTGGAATGATTTTCCAGGGGAGGCAAATTGGCCATCCTTTCACCCACAAAACAAACGATCACGCCACTTTACAAGACATCCTGAAGCACTTTAGGACGCCTCGACAACGTGAAAGGGTGCTATATGAAAAGCAAGGATTATTATTATTACTTCAAATGTCCGACTAATGATGCAAACTATTTTCAACACTACAACATATAGATATTTACCTCTGTAAGCCTTATTAGAGACTCCAGTTGTCGTGTTGTAATAGGAGTGCTGTCTGCACTTTGGTTTTGTCTTCTCAACTCCAAATAAAACTCCTGAAGGACTTGAGCTGCTTCACTGGACAATTTTGGACAAACATATTGACGTGCATATCCTATATATTTTCTTAGTAAGTGATGAGGAATGGGATCAAAGTTGTTTCCGGGGACAACCTTTTTAACAAAAATAATTTAGGTGTGAGATTCTGGACATTAGGAGAACAAATTACATTTATGTGTAAAGTTCCATACTCAGCGTGTAGTGGCTTGCTCCACATCCCCTGCCCTGCCCGCTCCACCATCGGAGATCAATAGCCTTTCTGCCCCACCCTCTGGAACTCCATCCAGAAGGAGCCCCTCTGCTTTGCCCCCTCCCTTGCTTTCTTCAAGGTCTGTCTCAAGACCATCCTCTTTGACCACGTCTTTGCTCATTTTCCCATCTCTACTCCCCTTGACAACAGTCTGTAGCTCGGGTACAACCATTGGGATGTAAAAGGCGCTATATAAATGCAATTTGTTGTTGGTGTTATCCTAATGGGCAACATCGCAGAAAATGCCGACTTTGAAAATATCAAATTGCTTGGCAACTGGTTACCCTATTATCAAGTAACTAACACTTCCATTCCTCTGAGGTCCAGGACTACCTTAAAATCAGATTGGTGGGTTAAACAGGTGCAGGGTTAGGGGTCTCTTTTCATGTTCATTATGCTGAGAGTGCAAATATTTTTAGTGTTAAGAGTGTTAAATATTTTTTCTATTTTGCACCCAGGTCAGGTAAAGCAAAGCCAGATCCCTAAGTCTTGCACCTATGTAATCTAGCAATCTAATTTTAAGATGCTAAACCTCTTTTTATCTAGCCCCCAACAACCCCTCACCCTCCAAATCTAAGAGAAGCATATATGTGAATTATTCCATTTCCCAGACGACACTTCTGGAAACTGCTAAAATTGGCTAATTGCTGGGCATTTACATTCTCTGCCTAAAGCCATTGGGGACTGGGATGGCATGGCCCACATTTATTTTATGTAGAACTCTCCAAATTAGGAGAGAAAGTGAGGGAGCCTGAAAACTAATCATGCAATAATTTGACAGATTATCATCTACTATTACACCAAACCAAAGCCTTAATGGGTAGGCTGTCCTCGCTAGACAAGCAGCAGGAAAGCTTGCAATGTCAATGGCAAGCTATGCAGTTTTAGCTGGTTTAACTCCAGCTGTATCATAAGGGCACACTCTGGGGTCCCCAAACTTTTTCTTTCTAACAAGGGAATTTCCATGTAGAGGTGGAATCCATGGAATTCCATTGGTTTGGGTAATCTTAAGCGTGGGCGATGGGTATCTGTGCGTATCAGACACCTACCTGACTAAAACAAAATTACATTGATGATCACAAACAAATATTAACAACTTAAATTAACCATACCTTCAACCTTTCTATTAAAGGCCTATCCAAAGCAATTTCAAGTATTGAATTGTTATTATCTTGAGTATTTTGACGTGAAACCACAGCACTGCTTAGGATCCCTCTCTTCCCAACATGCCTGGCCATGACATGCTCTGAAAGGAGATTGTCCTGATCTTCATTTGGAGTGTCAAGCAGAATAAACACCAGGTCAAATCTTGAGAGCAGGGCACTCCCCAATCTGAAACATCAATATTAATAGGTATCATCTTGATACATTCACCTTTGGATCACGGGTTCAAACCAAACTGGGACTTGAGCCCATAGTCTAGACTCGCTTCAATTCAGGCTCCATTGCCGGTATGGCATGCTTCAGATAAACCAAGGGTCACATCATCAAAGATACCATGATACAACAGTATTTGAAAGACAAAGGAGTTTCTCCGTATGTCCTGGTCAACCCCATCCACATAAAATGAGTAATTCACCTAATGGCTGTTACCTGGGATCTTGTTATAATAATTATAATCCTTGCATTTGATATGGCGCCTTATTACGTCTTCAAGATGCCTCAAAGTGCTTCACATTATATACTGTAAAGTGAATTTACTGTACATTTTGTGGGTGAAACGCAGCAGCCAATTGCACACAGAAGTGTCCCACAAACAGTCATGGATTGACTGAGCAAATTATTATTGTATTTAAGGGATTATTACCCCCAGAAAAGCGATCCGCCAATCGACTAATAACCAGATTCCTACTTACCCCTGGGTAAACAGAGGCGGGTGGAGTAAGGAAACTTGCTCAACATTTTGCCCTGCCTGGGAATTGAATCTAGGTCCTCTCCTTTGCGAGGTGAGTTCTCTAATCACTAGGCTACAGGACTCCACGTTTTTAATATTTAAAAATGATTGCCAAGTCACTATATTTGACAGTAATTTATATAAAGCACTTTTGAGATTTTAACATAAGGCACTACAAAAGTTTAAGTTATTTCTTTCTAAACATAGAAATAAGAAAGGTTCAATAATTCTACATTAAAATCCAATTATAGCTCACTTCACTATAACAAGACTTCAATTTTAGTGGTAGGGGTGTAACTAGGAGAGTACAGTGCCATGTAAGTGGAGCAGGGAGGAAAGATGGTAAAGAAGGATAGAATGGCCAACTACAGGGGAAAAGAGGATGGGGAGATGCAGGGAACTTAAGTCCCAGACTGAAATTATGCCATTCAATACTTTAATCATGGTTACTATGCTGTGGGAGTGACAGAAACTGAGGAAGATGAAGGTGTTTAACAGAGTGGTGGAAGATGTAGAAGGACAGCAGTATTTCACGACTGAGAAGCGAGGAGCAGGTTGGAGATAGTTGGAGGGTGGTTTCTTTGAGAATTGACTTGACCTCTTAATGTTAATTATTAACATTAACAGCTTATGCAAACACTTAGTAACTTACTTTAGGTTCTCAGAAACTGTTTTAGCTTTATTATAATGGCCACCCACAGGATTAGCAGCTGCAAGGATTGATGTTCTGGCTGGCAAACTGCATACGATCCCAGCTTTGGCTAGGCTGATAGTCTGTTGTTCCATAGCCTCCAGCAAGGCTTGGTGCTGGTTCCCCATTTTATCAAATTCATCAATGCAGCAAATACCTAAAATGAATATAAAGTAAAATATTGTGCGTTATTCAAAAGCACCAAATAAAATTAAGCAAAATAGTGGAAGTTAATATTTCCAGGGATTTCTGGAGAATCAAATGAAGTCATAGTTCCTGAAGGTTTGGCCACCGATGATGGAGTGAAAGGAATGAGAAGTACATGGCATGCCTGGTTTTGCAGAGCAGAGTGGGTGAATAGTAGAATGATGTTGGAAAAGGTCACAGAGGTAGTGAGGAGTGAAAGCTTGTAAGAATTTGTAGGTGAGAGTGAGGATCTTGTATTTGATCCACTGGAGGACAGTAAACAACACATCGCATTTATATAGCGCCCTTCACATTGGGAGGGCATCCCAAGATGCTGCACAGTCAAGGGTTTGCACCCAAGCCGGGGGTTGGATTTGGGAGAGGTGGAAGCCAAAGGGGAACAGGGGTGGGAATATGACCGAAGGTGTTGTCAGAGAGGAAGGTCTTGAGATGGAACTTGAAGGAGGCAAGGGAAGGAATGGAGTTCCAGAGAGTGGTGGCAGAAAGCGCAACCACTTTTGGCCATGTGGGGCAATATGAAGCAGGCCAGTGCCTGCCGATTGGAGGAAGCGGGTAGGGCAGGGCAAGGCCATGGAGGGATTTGAAAGTGAGGACAAGGATCTTGAACTTGATCTTCTGGGGAAACAGTTAAGACAGTAGGGCCAGAAAAGGATGAGGGGGATAGGCTCACAAAGCCTGGTGTGGGAGAGGATACAAGCTGCAGAGTTGTGAATGGTCTGTAGCTTGTGGGGAGTGGGGGGGGAAAGAGTTGAACCTTGGCTTAATGACACATTCAAAGGAAAACACCTCCAACAATACACTGGAGTAGCAGTCTAAATTACACAAGTTCAAAGTCCTGACATGAAGCTTGAACCCACAATCCTCTGACTTAGAAGCGAGAATGCTACCTACTGAGCCAGGCTGATACTCTGGCAATAACTCTGCATTAGGGGAAAAAAGCATTTTGGGATTGTATAGGATGTAAATAATATATAAAAACATTATTATTCATGAAGTTTCATATGTACTTTCTTTTCAAATGCTTTGTCAGCAACATATCTTTGTTGTAAGATAGTTATTAAATATTGGATTAAATTAGCTGTCACAGGGCAACCCTGTTCTAATGCTGTTATTTGACTCCAATATCTGATAAACAAGAAATAATAATCCTTGCATTTGATGCAGTGCCTATCTCCTAGTTAAGATGCTTCAAAGCCCTTCGCAGAATATGCTGTAAAATGGAAAGACTGACTATTTTGTGAGCGAAACACTGGCTGACTTCAGGGTCCACAGGTCACTGCTAAGGTCACTTCCTGTGCGCTGTGATGTCAGAAGCATTTTCTGTACATAGGGCACCTGCCTTATAAGCGAACCAACCTTATAACAAAGTATGTTTATAACTGTGCTGCACTGTAGTCGGCATCTTAATAAAAATGCATCTCATTACTGCCTAATTATTTGTGTAGTCAATAAATCATTTGTTTTACCTTGATCACCAAGTACAAGGGCCCCTGCCTCCAAAGCAAAATCTCCTGATCCACTGTCCCGTGATAAAGTCACAGTAAGTCCAGAAGTGGTAGTAGTATTACCACAGACATACACTCCCCGTGGGGCAATATTACACACCGCCTACAAATAAATAATTGTGCTGCATGTTATTTCAGTTATCAGAATTTTGAAGACAGTAATACAGCTTGCAGATAATATTTCTATCCTATTTAGTTGTTCAATAGTTTTGCTTTAATTCATTTCTGAATTTTATCCACATAGCAACTAAATTGAAATGCACCTCACTGTGCATGCAGTTCTTGTTATTCCAGTAATAAGTTTCAATTCAACAGAAAAATAAATCTGTCGGAAAACAAAGAGTGTACAGGAATATACATTTAAAGTACAGTAAATTATAATAAGACAAACACTAATTTATATGTAAATCAAGGCAATCGTCTCCAATTACTAGATCACTGAATCACTAATATATATCTCAGCCAGTTGCTACACTATACAGACCAGCAAGATCCGAAGCTGATGCCTGGTTAGTGTAGTTAGCATGCCAATACTAGTGTGCCCAAGTTAGGGATTGTTACCGATTAGGTTTCAAAAGATTTAGCCTTTGTAAGTACCTGTAACATTTGACTCTTTCCAAGCCCAGGATCACCAACAATGAGAATATGGGGATCACCCCTGACTGGAATACGGTTTTTATCATCCACATACTTTTGGCATCCACCAAACAGTCCCAACGCCAATCCAGCTTTAACAAGCTAATAAAAGAAAATGTTTTTAATTGGATTAAATATGTGTAAAGGTCATTTGTACTGCTACCAAAGAGTATTGATCATTATTCCCCCCAAAAAATAATGTATTCAACACCCACCTCATGGCCATATATAGCAGGACACATTGAACTGTGAAAGTAAATCAAACAAATGTCATTATTTGCTACCAGTTTTCTAATGACCTCAAACAGAAAACAAAGGATAAAGTAAGACATACTTAACAAAAAGTTTGAAGAGATTTTCTTCAGCCTGAATTTCCTGAATTGCATAAAGATCTTTAAGCGTAAACTCCATAGAGGATCTACCACCCGACATTGCTTCAGAACCCAAATTCTTCTGTCCTTTACTATTGCTGATAGAATTAGCCCCAATATACAAAAGGAATAAGCATTTGTCATCTTTGTTTCTCGTCTTCCCTGGAAAATAGTCAAGTAGAATAATTAGGCTACCTATTAGTGCACCATATATAATATATATGTATATATAATACAGCAACAACTTCCATTTATATAGCACCCTTTTTGGTTAGCTGAGACACGCCAAAACCAATCACTGTGCTTAAGAGTATCCACACCAAACAGAATATATGTTGAAATTCCCATGTATCAGAATGGAATGTGCACTCTCTCCCTGGAGGGGAAGCATCATTAACTGGGGGTTGGGGGTGAGGGGGTAAAGAGGATGTCTCTTAGCATTTTACAGGGACACGGTGGACACCAAGCAAGGGAAAGGTGGAGGAGGTCTCTCTTCCCTCACTGACTAAAAAAGATGTCCATGAGAGTCATTCACACTGTGTGCAACACTTACTCTTGTCTTGTAGCTCTCACTTACCCCCCCTACAGTAGACACAGATAAGCTTAATCAGAAACAGTTACAGTATTTAAACGACATTCATACCTTCACCAGTGTTTGCCACCTTGACAGTTCCTGTGACTGTAATCATGTCTCCTGGGACACAACTGTCTACCAAGTCCTGGATTAACTCGCATTCTATAGTACGAGGGATTCTCCCAGCCTCTCTCTTATCATCTGCTGTAAGCTCCTGTAACCTGCAAAATGGAATGAAATACTGAAGTATTTTATTTAAAGGATGGTAAATGTAAGAAGAAAAAAAGTTCTGTCAGTGAAAAAGTAAATCCCAAACTATTGGGATTGTTCCTGTTAAAACACTGAACAAACAGTAATATTCTAAATTTTGGTGATGGAGAAATGTCATCCAAACTACTGGCATTTCCTGGTCTTTTTCCAAACCCAACATGAAAGGCGCTATACAAATGTAACCAGAAAGCAGGCAGAAAATCAATTTAACACTTCATTAAAGAACAGAACTTTCAACAATGCTGTGATACCCTGACAACGGTCTAGGAGAAGACTTCTCCTTTTACCTAATCCCAATTTCCCAGTTCAGCTCCCTGTTTACCTCGCTCTCCCTCCAAAAAAAGGACAGGTGGAGTTCTATAGCTTAGTGGTTAGAGCACTTGCCTCGCAAACGTTTCCCAGGCAAGACAAATGGGACAAGTTTCCTTAATCCACACACCTCTATTTACCTACCAGTACGTAGGAACATGGTTGTTAATTGATTGGCGAATCGCTTTTCCAGAGGTAATAATCCTTTCAAAAAAAATTTGGTCATTCAATCCACGACTGTCTGTGGGACACTGCTATGCGCAATTGGCTGCCACATTTCGCCCACAAAATATAGTCAATTCACTTCACAATATATTCTGTGACGGTCTTTGAGATGTCTCGAAGACATGATAAGACACTACATCAAATGCAAGGATTATTACTTACTTAATAGACTGCCAGTCTACAGTCACTGTGAAGGGAGATCTTCTGTTAGCTGCAAATGATCGACTGCGGCACTCTGGCACCAAGCACTATGTAGAAAGTTCAAAATCAGTTTCTTTAAATTACTAAATACGAAGACAAGCAATTTCTCTGCTAAAAACCTTAATACCATACCTTTGTGGGTGGTGTGTATTTTCCATCCGTAAAAGGCAAACTCTGGATATCGCCACATGTATTACATGTGAAGGCCATTCTCGTACACAAAGGTTTGACATTGCTGACACGAACCACTGTACCACGTAGTGAAATATACTTTCCATAGCAGTTAGCTCTGAGATTTTTCAATGGTGTCAAAGGCTCATAATTATAAATCCTGTAAATGCACATTATTATATTAGTTTTTCATATAAACAGCATAGATTCAATAGGTTTAAAAAAACTCAAGCATAACCATTTGCTTAAAATGTTTTGTTGTATTAAAATTATGTTTTCTGCATAGTAAACGAACTCAGTTGGAATTAGAATTTTTTACAACCAAACATTCTTGCAGTATTGGGTCTGGTTATATCCTCAAACAAAATGATGCACAAAAACTTTACAAGCAACCCTCTGAAAAGGCAATACAAAATCTGCCAGCGCTGATAAAATATTGCAATTTTTTTTAGATTTAAAATCTCCTTATAATGGTAACTGAACTTGCAGAAAGGACAGGTTAGCCTCAAATGTGATGCTTCCCCAAAAGTACTGCCAATTTGTAGATGAGGAAATTCAGTAGGAAAGCACCAGGCAAGCCTTTTCTTGTAGTTCTTTTTTAAACAACTGCAGTTTGGGGTACCTCACTTCAGGAAAAAAAATTATGGTCTTAGAAGGGGTGTAGAGGAGGTTTACGAGAATTAATCTGGGAATAAAAACAGGTTACGAGGAAAGATTGACTGGGTCTGTTCTCATTGGAGCTGAAAAGGTTGAGGTGGGACCTGATAAAGGTGCCCAAAATTATGAGGCGTTTTGACAGGATAAATAGTGAGAAGATATTTCCATTGATGGGGGATCCAGTGACTAGAGGGCATAATTATAATTGTAATATTTTCAGAGTTGGGGTGGAAAGCCTGCCGAAATCCATTGTAGCTTTCAACAGGAAAGTAGAAGAGAGAACCTTGAAGGTCTAACCATTTGTGGTCTTTCTGTACCATTTGTACCCTTTCTGCCCCATCCCAGAATCCCTCTGCCTCGCATCCTTCAAGGCCCATCTCAAGATCTTCCTCTTTGATCGTGCCTTCGGTTATCCTCCCACCTCCAACCTCTGTTGCCCTTCATCCCTTCTGATTCCAACCCCCAGCTCGGATGCAACCCTTGGATCTCCAGAATTTCCTCATCTATAAATTGACAATACATGGCTGTTAACCAAGAAACCACTTGATTCTAGTCATGGCTGTTGAATACTACATCTTGAGCATAAGTATTTCATGCTATTAATCTTCAAGTAACTCGTTCCTATCCTGCGGCTCTGATCTCCTCAACCTCCCCAGCTTATCCCTCAGACTCACCGAACCAGTGTGCAACCTAGGCGTCAGGTTTGACCCACATCTGTCCTTCCACCTAGTTGACCGTGCCTACGGTCACCTCCCACTCCCCCCGACTCAGAGTTGTTCTCCTCCACTGTCAAGCGCTCTGCCCAAGGAGCGCTATATCAATGCAAGTTGTTGTTGTAGTAGCTACCCCTTTAATGTTAAATTGAGACTTCAATGTGCTTTCAGCAAAAATATTCTAGTGCACTGATGTCACATAATAGTAAGAGGAAAATGGTATGGAAAAAGGCAGAAGAATGGGACTGAACGGAGAGCATTTTTAGAGAGACATCACAGGTAATATGGGCTGAAGGGTCTCCTTCTGTGCTGTCAATTTTTATAGGACTGTAGATATAATGCATGAAATTAGCAGTTGTTTGACAAACATTATAACTAGAGCTCCCTGCCTCTGTACTGAAAACTAAAATAGTTAAGTTATTTGTTTTCCACATATCATTTATGGTCAAGTCAGAAATATTTGCCCATTGTAAGTTCACCTTACACACTGGATGATGTACTTGAGGCAAAAATATCAAACTTTTCTTAGAAAAAAAACATGTAAGCAGTTTTCAACTCACCTTGCTTGAATAAATGGAACATTTACAATGGGAGCCTCTTCATTTGGCAGCCCCTGACCCAACTGTGCTGCCCGTCGCTCAAGATCACTAGTTAGCAACTGATCACATGTAGAACAAGTATAAATTAAACATACAAATTTTACTAAACTGAACCAAAATAAAGAGTATAATAAGCATACAATATAGAAGAATTCCACCGAAGGCATCATTTACACAAGGCATCATTCCGATTTGTCTCCACAAGAAGAGCAGACCAGTCACCAGAGGCAGGAATTCGTCCCACTCGGCTCCTGTTAACCCAAAAAGCCAAAGCCCCAAAGGCTAAGTGGTCCCACTGGACAAATAGCGGCAAAACTTGCCAGTCAGTGACTTCACTGGCAAGCTATGTGGTTTCAGCTGATTATCCCAACACATACTATGGGGTCCCCAAGCCTCGGTTTGGTAATATAGGATGTATTGCTCCAGGGAAAGTGCGTTCATTCCATTCCAACAACTATCTTGCAAATTTTTATATGTAAGTGGGATGCATGGAACTCTGTTAAGTTTGGATACTTCTAAGCATGGTGATGGTCAGACACACGGCCGACCAAAAAAAAATTGTCTCAGATTTCACAAAACCCACTTTTCACAAAAATACAAGAGGGGAAGAAAGATATCTAAATATTTTATTAAACTTAAAAAAGTACTTTCTTTTAGAAGACAACATAAAGCATGATAGATTTTTCACATGCAACTGTGTAAACATCTAACTGAATGATGAATCGGACAGTCATATAATGCTTTACCTGATGAACTGCCAGTCCCAAACAGTCCAACAATTTGTCTGGCATATCCCTCAATTCAGTTGCAATATTTGGTAATACAGCAGTTAGAGCTTCATCACCTACAAGCTCCTTAAAATCAATCAAGATGCTTCCTTTTCTTTCTATTTCATCCTGTTGGACAGAAGTATTTTACACTTTATAAATGTTGCAGTTTTAGTATTTTATTCATTAATTCATATAAAATTCTTCCAAAAAAGCGATTTTCCAAAAACAATTAATTAAAATCGATAATAATACTTGTATTTGAGTAGCACTTTATCAAGTCTTCGAGACGTCTCAAAGCACTCCACAGAATATACTGTAGTGAATTGACTGTATATTTTGTGGGCGAAACGGGGCAGTCAATTGCGCAGAGCAGTGTCGCTCGAAATGGTCGTGAATTGAGTGACCAAATTATTTTTTTTTAAAATAAGGAATTATTATCCCTGGAAAAGCGATCCACCAATCGACTAACAACCAGGTTCCTATTTACTGCTAGGTAAACAAAGGCATGTGGAGTAAGCAACCGTGCCCAAAGTTTCGCCCTGCCCAGGAATCAAACCCAGGTCCTCTCACTTGGGAGGCGAGTGCTCTAACATCAAGCTGCAGGAATTTGAGTCATTTGGGAAAATGCTTGCGAATGAGAAATAAAATGTACCCTTATAAAAACAGAACTGCATCAAAGTGACAATCTTCATTATAGCTGAATACTCAGTTTCTGATGATTAAAATAAAGACCACCTTGAAGTGCAGGATGAAGACAAAATAATATCATCATCCTTGAATTTGGTACAGTGCCTTTCATATCAGGAACCAAAGTACTTCAGGATTTTTTTTACACTGTGAAGTGTAGTGACTGTGCAATAATAACAATAACAATTTGTTGTGATGTCTCAAAGAACATACTATAAAGTGGATCGACTGTGTATTTTGTGGCCGAAACATGGCAGCCAGTTTGGGTACAACAATATCCAACAAACAGTCATGGAGTGAGTAACCAATTTTATTTGGGGAGTCTGTTGACCAGAACAACTGGAGAAATTCCCTTCTTTTTGAATAGTGCAATGGGATCTTCACTGTCCACCTGAACAGACAGATTCTTGGTTTAACATCTTAATCCGAAGGACAGCACCTTCGACAATGCAGCACACAGTTAATGCTGTGTTGAATAAAATGCTACAATTCTTCATTCAAATGTTGTCCACAATTAGTAAATGTACTGTTTCATTTATATTCAATAGGATTGGAAACTCTGCTTCTTTTTCCACCCTATATGTTGAAAAAAGGTAACTAAGCAGTTAACAATAAACAAAAAGGACCAAAGAAAGTCAAGATTCTTACCTTATCATACAGATCAATACGACTTGCAAAGAATTTTTCAAATGCCTGAATCTTCTGCACAAAAGGAGAGCTTTCAACATAACCTTGTGCGTAAAAAAATTGAAGAATAGGTTTTTCTGTACTGTTACTTTTGGCACACACAAATCCCAAACTAAAAAATAATATTTAAAACTTACTCTTAAAACACTAGCACCACAAAAAGAGATATCCATTTCAGGTCTCACAAAAAAATAAGTTTAAAGCAATCATGGTCACAGCTCTTCTTAATCAGACTGTGAAATCCTATAGCAGTGATTAGAGCACTCGCCTCTCAAGCAAGAGGACCTGGGTTTGATTCCCAGGCAGAGCGAAACGATGGGCAAGTTTCCATACTCCACATGCCTGTTTACCTAGCAGTAAGTAGGAACCCGGTTGTTAGTCGATTGGCAGATCACTTTTCTAGGGTTAATCATCCCTTCAAAAAAATAAATAATAATTTGATCACTCGATCCACAACTATTTGTGGGTGTGCAATTGGCTGCTGCGTTTTGCCCACAAGTATAGTCAATTCACTTCACAGTATAATCTGTGAAGCGCTTTGAAACGTCTCGAAGGTGTGATAAACCGCTATATCATCTGCAAAGGTTATTTTTATTATTATAATTACTGAAAAGTAAGAATCTCGGTCCATCAAAAATATTACGAATGACAACAAATAGACTCCCCACACACCTGTGCACACACGGCACTTATCCTTTTCGACACACTTTAATGCGGACTGTTTTTTTCAGATTCTAAGGTCCATCTCATCAGTACCTTACTTACTTAGTTTCCTTACTCCACTTGCCTAATAATAATCCCTCAAGAAAAATAATAATAATAAATTGGTCATTTCAATCTACGACTGTTTGTGGGATACTGCTGTGCGCAATTGGCTGCTGCATTTCGCCCACAAGTATACAGTAAATTTACTTTACAGTCTATTCTGTGAAGCGCTTTGAGACGTCTAGAAGACGTGAAAAGCGCTATATCAAACGCAAGGATTATTATTATTACCTTTGTGCAATATTTCATGGTAGTGGTTAATGTAGCACTAATACACCCAGATGCAAAATCAATTTTCAACAGAAATCCAGAGCAATTATTTTATGAGCTGCAGCCAAAGGTAACTCACACTTAGAAGAATATAAACAGTGTCCCACAAACAGCCATGGAGTAATTGACCAATTTTATTTGGGGATTTATTGACCAGGACACTGGGAGAAACTCCCTTCTCTTTTCGAATAGTGCCATGGTATCTTTAACATCCACCCGAACAGGTTGATGGGACTTCGATTTAACGTCTCATCCAAAGGAAGGAATCAGATCACTAATACAACGCTTGTGTTTGTTTAGCTATAGTCTGCGTGCAACTTTTAATTTTTTTGTTACATTAAATAACTGATTTGGATAGCATTCTGTTATTTCAGCGATTCATTTTATCAAAACCAAAAAAGCTTCTTACCTTCTGAAAAATAAAGTTTCCAACCTTTATATGGTACAAATTGATCCAAAGTTCCTTGAGTCATTCGTGGCTGAGGATTAGGCTGATGGAAACCTGGAACAATTTTTATTATATATAAATCCAAAAAGGTTTGTAACACTTTTAAAAAACGTTTTTAAAATCTTCAGGTTTTGGAATGTAGAAACATAGAAATCCACAGCGCATGAGGCCACTTCACCCATGGAATCTGCACTGGCTCACAAAGCAAGGATATATCTTCAGTCCCACTGCCCTACCTCATCTCCAAACTACTTCAAGACCCTCTCTTTCATATATCTGTCTACTTCCCTCTTGAAAGCTGCAATGGATTCACCAACCTACTTGGCAGAGCATTCCACGTGAAAAAAATGTAAAACCCCAGTTACCCATTTCAATATATCTACTGTATCTCCATTAAGTTTTGCAAGTTGTTGAAAGTAGTGAAGCATCATACATTAAATTCTACTATTTCTGAATTGTTTTCAGGTCGGACACATGCAGAAACCCATCACCATGTTTTAGAGCACCTCTCTGCCTGCTGTGCCTCGTCTCTCTTTCTCTGCCCACTGTGCTGGGGTTGGGGTAGACACACGCCAGAGTGTGATGGGACTGGGAACGTCAGATTGGGCATGGGTGTGGGGTGGATGGACACCAGAGTGCGCACAGGAGGGGGTGGGGTGGGGGGGGGGGGGAAACTACAGGAAGATGCCAGAGTCCGCATGAGAGTGGTGGTGGGGGACACGCCAGTGGGTGCAATGGGCATGGGGGGAGGAGTGGGGGGGGGGGGGGGGGGAGAGATATGAACATGCCAGAGTACACATGGGAGGAGGGGGGAGGGCTGGACTAATCTGAACCCTTTCCTCAGTTTCATCTCTCCAACCATACACTTACTGAACCTCAACAACAACAACACCACAACAACAACAAGATTCCATTTATAAAGCGCCTTTCACGTCGGGAGGACGTCCCAAGGCGCTGCACAGTTGGGTCATGACCCGAGCAGGGGAAATGGTCAGGGTGAGGGGAGGGAAGGGAGGGAGCGAGGAGGGGGGAAATGGTCAGGGGGAGGGAAGGGAGGGAGCGAGGAGGGGGGAAATGGTCAGGGTGAGGGGAGGGAAGGGAGGGAGAGAGGAGGGGGGAAATGGTCAGGGTGAGGGGAGGGAAGGGAGGGAGCGAGGAGGGGGGAGAGAGTCGAGAGGGGAGCTGAAGGCACGGTCAACAACAACAACAACTTGGATTTATATAGCGCCCTCCACGCCGGACGGCGTCTCAGAGCGGCTTAACGGTAACGGATCCCGGGGCCGAGCCGGGGACCTCCCTAAGCTTTCCTATTCCTACATCCACCCCCTGCTGAGGTGAGAGGACAGGATCTGGAAGACTGTCGTAACGTGGACTATCTTAGTTCCCGAGGGTCACCACATACGTTTTTAATATAAAAATAAAGCAAAGTTTCAGAAAATAGCACAGCTCTTAGCTCTGAGCTGCTTCACCTCCTCTGGATTTCGCTTCGTGTCCTCTTGCTTGCCACGGCCTCCCTCTCCATCCTCTGCCACCCCCGCGCCATCCTCCTCCTCCTCCTCCTCCTCCTCCTCCTCCTCGCCACGATCTCCCACCTCTCCAGTCGCTCATAGCCTGTATTCAAGGATGAGCAGACAGCAGCCGAGCTCCAGCCTGCGGGCCAGGTGTCAGCTCCTCCCTGGCCCCGGTGTATGTCTGCCCGCTGTGCCCTGGTCTCTCTCTGCCCGCTGTGCCCCGGTCTCTCTCTCTGCCCGCTGTGCCCTGGTCTCTCTCTGCCCGCTGTGCCCTGGTCTCTCTCTCTGCCCGCTGTGCCCTGGTCTCTCTCTCTGCCCGCTGTGCCCTGGTCTCTCTCTGCCCGCTGTGCCCTGGTCTCTCTCTCTGCCCGCTGTGCCCTGGTCTCTCTCTGCCCGCTGTGCCCTGGTCTCTCTCTGCCCGCTGTGCCCTGGTCTCTCTCTCTGCCCGCTGTGCCCTGGTCTCTCTCTGCCCGCTGTGCCCTGGTCTCTCTGCCCGCTGTGCCCTGGTCTCTCTCTGCCCGCTGTGCCCTGGTCTCTCTCTGCCCGCTGTGCCCTGGTCTCTCTCTGCCCGCTGTGCCCTGGTCTCTCTCTGCCCGCTGTGCCCTGGTCTCTCTCTCTGCCCGCTGTGCCCTGGTCTCTCTCTGCCCGCTGTGCCCTGGTCTCTCTCTCTGCCCGCTGTGCCCTGGTCTCTCTCTGCCCGCTGTGCCCTGGTCTCTCTCTGCCCGCTGTGCCCTGGTCTCTCTCTGCCCGCTGTGCCCTGGTCTCTCTCTGCCCGCTGTGCCCTGGTCTCTCTCTGCCCGCTGTGCCCTGGTCTCTCTCTGCCCGCTGTGCCCTGGTCTCTCTCTGCCCGCTGTGCCCTGGTCTCTCTCTGCCCGCTGTGCCCTGGTCTCTCTCTGCCCGCTGTGCCCTGGTCTCTCTCTGCCCGCTGTGCCCTGGTCTCTCTCTGCCCGCTGTGCCCTGGTCTCTCTCTGCCCGCTGTGCCCTGGTCTCTCTCTGCCCGCTGTGCCCCGGTCCCTACATTCCCGGGCCCCCGGTCTCTATGCTCTCTCTGACGGGCGGTGCCTTCTCTCCCGCTCTCTTTCTCTCTCTCTCTCTCCTTCTCCCTCGCGCCGCCGTGAATTCAAAAGCATTCGGACCAGTAACCGCCACCGCTCGCGCTGGGCGCGTCACTGCTGCTTCCGGCAGCCGCGGTCCAATCACAAGGCGCGGAAGGGGGTGGGGGGGAGGGCGGGACTGTGGGCGGTGCTTACAGTCCGCTCTCACAGCCCGACCGCCTGGACCTGCGTTCACTCGCTCTCGGCTCGGCTTCCCCGCCCCTCCCCCCTCCCCCCCCCGACCACAGTGACTGCTTCCCCACCCCCTAACCACCGTCCCTCACCCTCTCCCGAGGTTTCCGACCGGCGAGCGGCATGTCTGAGGCGAGTGAGGCCCCGGGCCCGGGCCTAGACCCCGGCCCAGACCCGGGCCCGGGCCCGGCCCGCGTGTGATTGCGGACGGAGACCATGTGGTGCTGAAGAGAGGGGAGGTGTTCAAAGCGGTGCACGTGCAGAGGAAGAGGTAAGCGGACGCTGAACTGGCCCCGAGGTGACATGTCTGGCCACGGGATCGCGGAATGTCGCCAGGCCTCTGTGATGGCCTCTGTGATGGCCTCTGGTCCGGTTCCTGGGCCAGGCGGGTCCGCAGTATCCCAGGGCACTGCTGATGCCCGGCCCGGCCCGGCCTGGCCCGGCCTGGCTCACCGGCAGGATCGGGAAGGGCAGACCGGTCACTGGGGGCAGGGAGGCAGCCCCCACTCACTCAGCTCCTGTTAAACCTGCAAACCGAAGCCCTGACTGGTGGGGTGACCCGGGCTGGACCTGGCAGCCGGGAAGCGGGCCGAACAACGGCATCGATGGCAAACAATGCGGTGTTAGCTGGTCAGACTCCAGCAGCACTGCCGCGCACACTCTGGGGAGGTCTCCTTGGCTCTTGCCAATCTGCGCCCAATACTTTCCAGAATTAGGTGAGCGGGATGTGTCCCTCCAGGGAGAGAGTGCCCATTCGATTCCAACAGTCTGTCTCCGGAATTACCACGTGTAGATGGGATGCATGGAATTCTCACTTTGGTTTGAATACTCTTAAGCAGCGGGGATAGGTTTTCGCATGTGTCACACACCTGGCTGACCCCCCAAAAGGAAGAGGTACAGTATGTGTCTGGCCTTTACCTGTGGCTGAGGGTTAGTTCCAAACAGTCCTCATTTTTTTGCCATCAGGAACCCCCAATCCTTACATTTTGGTGCAGAGATTAATATAATAATCCCAGCATTTGATATAGCGAGCTATCACAAAGTTGAGACGGCTCAAAGCGCTTCTCAGATTATAATGTAAAATAAATTGATTGTATTTTGTGGGAGAAATGCAGCAGCTCAATTGCACACAGCAGTGTCCCACACGCGGGGATTATTACCCTCGGAAAGCAATCCACCAATTGACTAACAACTAAGTTTCTACTTACCAGGTAAATGGAGGCTTGTGGAGTAAGGAAACTTGCCTAAGGTTTCACCCTGTCCGGGAATGGAACACAGGTCCTCTCGTTTGTGAGGCGAACACGCCAACCAGTACGCTACAGGACTCCCTGTATGTGTGGTCAAAATGTCTCAACACTTCACAGAGATAGGCTGTAAGGTGTTGTTGAGTCCTGTAACTCAGTGATTAGAGCACTCGCCTTGCAAGCGAGAGACCTGGGTTCGATTCCCAGCAGGGCGAAACGTTGGGCAAGTTTCATTATTCCACGCGCCTCTGTTTACCTGGAAGTAAACAGGAACCTGCTTGTTAGTTGATTGCTGGATCGCTTTGCCAGGGGTAATAATTCCTTCAAAAATCAATTGGTCACTCAATAAACAAATGCTTGTGGGACACTGCTGTGCGCAATTGGCTGCCGCGTTTCGCCTACAAAATATGCAGTCAATTCACTTTACAGTATATTCTGTGAAGCTCTTTGGGACGTCTCAAAAATGCGATAAGGCGCTACATCAAATGCAAAGATTTTTTTTATAGTGACTTGTCTATTTTATAGGCATACACAGCAACCAGTTTGCACTCAGCAATGTCTCACAAACAGCCAGGAAGTGAATGATCAATTCTCCCAGGGCACTGGGAGAAACTCCTCTTTTCGAATAGCGCCACAGGTGCTTTAATGGCTACTTGAACGGGCAGACGAGACCTTGGTTTAATGTTTCATCTGGAGGACAACACCTTACAATGCATCGCGCTCTCCCTCAGCACTACACTGAGGTGTCAGCATAGGTGGTGAGCTCCAAGTCCTGACACTGGGCTTGAATGCACGTCTTTCTGACACAGGTGAGAATGATACAAAACGGCCATGATGACATAGTGACTTTCAGTTGCTCTGGTTTCCATTCCATTTTTATAAAACAATTTGAGACAGTTTCCCATATGAAAGATGCTGTTTAAGTAAAAGTTTGTTTTCTTGTTTTATTTCCCCACCTCTTGCTTTGAAAGAGTTGGTGTCTGCCATGTGCTGTGGTTGAGATTGGAAGTTCAGTATTGAGATAGACATTGTGGCTTATCCTTCCAATGAATGGCACTGCCATTGGGGCTTCAGTGTATTGCTCACCAGGGAGACGTTTTATTTACCTTCTAAGTAAATTTTTCTGTACCCACTAATCCTAAAATCTGTAGCGTAATGGTTTTGTGTGGTATCCTGTAGCATAGTGGTTAAATTATACAAACAGAGTGCGTCACTGCAGGCACAAGTGCATTCCATGTCAGGTACAGAAATTTTGATATGTGTAGGTAGATATGTGTGCATATATAAAGCTTAGTCTGATTTGGATGCTCTTAAGAACTGTGATGATTTTTCACATGTATCAGAATAAAATTGCAAAAGTATCTGAGGATATAGTTTGATAATGTTATTTGTAAGACTCTTGAATGATGGGGGCAAAGTTGGTTTCTGATTGTTTGTTATAGAGCAAACTGTTGCTTTGCAGAAAGATCATTTTTGAAAAACAGTGGTTTTACTTGGATAATGCGATTGGACAGCGATTTGGTGCCACATTTGAAGTTTCTAGTGGAGGAGTACTTCAACCAGTTAAAGCAAAAATGGAGGAAAGTGGAAAAGGTAGTGTTTTCAGAATTTCTCATGCTCTTGTAGTGGAAACCCTCTATCATTCCTTCTAGCTACAAGGTACACCTTGCTTTACCTGCACATTACAGCACATTCAACCCATGACATCTGCTATGCTCTCCACATCAGTGATTTTCTAGTGTAATGCAGCTGTTTTGCTCACTCCTCTTGCCCTTAATACTCTTTCAACCACCCATCTAATAATATAACAATAAATAATATCTTGTATTTAACATAGGTCCTTATCGGTTTGTTGATGCGTCCCAAAATGCTCCCACCAGCACTGTATTAGAGTGTCAGCCAAGACTATGCGTTCAAGTCCCGTCATGAGGCTTGAACTCATAACATGACTCAGAGCTGAGGCACGCTGACATCTAAATCCCTTTTAAAAAGAATTCAGGGTTCTAATCTACTTCAACAACTTTTGTGGCAGAAAATGCCATGCTCCACACAGTTGTGTAAAGAACTTTTTCAAACCTCCCTTTAATTATTTTTGTGATTAATTTTACAGTCAATTATAGCATTGTAGGAAGCCTTTCAACCCATCTGTGGTAGAGATATGATGCTTTCAGAATTTCTCATGCTTTCATATTTGAAACCCTCTATCATTCCTTCTAGCTACAAGATGCACCTTGCTTTACCTGCACATTACAGCACAGAAACCAGTAATGATCTTGCGTTTGACATTCAACATTTAACTATTTTAACAAAGACTTGTAATCTATGTTTAAAGATCTTAAAATAGTTAATTATATCGAGTTGACTCATATTACAATACAATATCAATTTATATATCAGCTTTCATGTTAGGAGGACTCAAATCGTTGGACTATCCAGGGTTTGTACCTGAACTTGCAACAGGGAGGGAAAGATGGCTGCATTTAACTATTTTAACAAATTTATGCACTATTTTTATGCATTTAACTATTTTAACAAAGATTTGTAATCTATTTTCAAAAATCTTCAAGGAACCGATATGGTGCTGCGTCAAATGCAAGATCATTATTTCTCCACTGAAATTAACTCCAATGCCCATTTTCTGCTTTTTCCCCATATGCCTTTTAATGACCTCTTAATATACAATTTTGTTTCCTTTCAAACCAATGTATGAAGAGGATTGAGTATGAAGGGGCTGTTGGGCGTTCTGCCCCACTCTCTGGAACTCCATCCTGGATTCCCTTCGATTGGCCTTTTCCTCATCTCTTTCAATGTACTCCTCAAGATCTTCCTCCTTGCTGGCCTTGTTTTCAGCCATCTTTCCCTCCCTGTCGCCAGTTCAGGTACAAACCCTGGACAGTCCAGCACCTTGGGACGTCCTCCTAACATGAAAACTGATGTATAAATTGATATTGTATTGTAATATGAGTGAACTCAATGCATTTAACTATTTTAACAAAGAATTGTAATTTATTTTTAAAAATCTTGAAGGAAGTGTGTTTGTTCCAGAAATGAACAAGGCCGGTATTGATAATCGGAACATAGTTGATGATGGAAAGTCCCAGAAGCTCAGCAGAGATGACATTGAGGCACTTAAAGAGCAAGGCCTGAAGGGACAGGTAGAGAGACTTTTGATATTAGCCGGGAAATATGCCTTGCATTGGCACATTGTGTTTTCTACAAAAAATTGCAATACTGAAGAATGAATCTAAGCATTTGCACCCTCCCCTCTCCGCAGGACATTGTTCAGCATCTGATAGAAAACAGCACAACATTCAGAGACAAAACTGGATTTGCACAAGAAAAATATATCCAGAAGAAAAAGAAAAAGTAAGTTTTATTTCCCCCCCCAAGGTATACTGGTAGCTTTTCCTCTCAAAACACTTCACTGGAGTCAATATAATGTGTAATGGCAACAAAAATGATTTGCACTTGTAGGTAGTAGAATATCAAAGTGCTTTACAGAGAGGAGGGAACCTGAGATTGGGTGTGTGGGGGGAGTACATCATCCATATCGGTTACACCTGCAGTGGAAACATGACTTGCTTCTGTACCTACCATCTAAAGAAATATTTTGTAACTATTAACATTTGGAGTCTGAAATGATAAATTCTAGCAGTTACATTTTCAGTGAAATATAATAACAATAATCCTTGCATTTGAGATAGTGCCTTATCGTGCCATTGAGAAGTCTCTAAGCGCTTCACAGAATATGCTGTAAAATGAATTGACAGTATATTTTGTGGGTTAATTTTTTGAAACGTCTAACTCAAGCAACCTTTGCTGACAGATACGAGGCAATTATAACTATCTTGAAGCCCACGGCTCGTATAATGGCCATGATGTATCATTCACGAGAACCTGGCAAGATCTGGTAAGCAACGTTATTGCCCTTTATAATAATTACAACAACAACAAGATTCCATTTATAGAGCGCCTTTCACGTCGGGAGGACGTCCCAAGGCGCTGTACAGTTAAGTCAGGACCCGAGCAGGGAGGAAATGGTTAGGGTGAGGGGAGGGGAGCGAGGAGGGGGTAGAGAGTTGAGAGGGGAGCTGAAGGCACGATCAAAGAGAAGAGTCTTGAGACCGGCCTTGAAGGAGGGAAGGGATGAAGCAAGGCGAAGGCACTGGGGGATAGAGTTCCAGAGCCTAGGGGCTCCTTTAACCAAATAACTTATTTTGAAAAATCTCTTTGTATGAAGCTCCTCTCAGAGGCTGGGGAAATTGGGTTTTATTTTCTGAAGCTGAGAAGGTTAAGCCGAGATCTGATTGTGATGCTAAAAATGCTGAAGAGAACGAGCAAGCTCAATTGGGGACGTCTCTTTCCTTTGGTAGAGGGATCCAAAAGAAGCATAAGTAATCTTTATATTAGAGCTAAGTCAGATAGAAGTGGTACCAACTGACTCAGGTTGATACCAGACTGGTAATCTGGTTTCTGAATCAGGTCTGATGACAGACCAGCCAGATTGGCTTGTCAAAGGACTTGGAGGGGCAGACTAGTCACTTGGAGCAAGGATTCTTCTTATAATAATGTTAATGGAGGAAGACTAAGTCCTAATAGGTAGGGTGGTCCTAGTCAGACAAGCAGCAGGTGATGGTGCTATCAATGGTTTTAGCTCCAGCAGTAGGTGCAACTCTGGGGGTCCCCAAGCCTTGGCTGTCTCTCCAAACTGCAGCTAATACACTCTGGGATTAGGTAAACAGCATACATCCCTCTAGGGAGGAAAGTGCACATTCTGTTCCAGACACAGGAACATTTCCACATAGAGATGGCATACACTGATCATTCTGCACATTAAAGTTTTAAGGTGGACAGAGTGGGAACACGTCTACATTTATACTGTGCACTTTAAATCCAGGCACTTTAAATTGTTTAACATTTAGAAGAACCCAAAGTGACGTATAGAGGTAGAACTGCTGTACTAAACCCAATGAACTGATCTTTCTTTTCCAGCTTTTTACGATATGACACATTGGCTCAGATGCTGTCTCTGGGGAATATCCATGCTGGTTGTAAAGTCATCGTGGCAGAAACCTGTGCTGGACTAGTTCTAGGAGCTGTAATGGAGCGATTGGGAGGTAGTGAAACCTAACAGTGCATGCTAACCGTTTCGGGCAGAAACAAACCTTGGCCATCTAGCCAAGCCCTCCAACTTCTGAAAGATTCCTTCCACACACTCTAACCTAATAACTATACACTACACTAACTGTGACCTTACCTTTCTTACCCCAAAGTCCTGAGACGTGTTGCTGCCACTCCACTCCCTGATCGAGCCCCTCCAGTCAGGTTTCCTCCCTGTTCACAGGACTGGACGGCTCTCGTCCTCATGAGACAGCCTTATCACATTTGTTGAAGCGTCTCAAAGCACTCAAAAGTGTAACGACTGTGTATTTGTGGGCGAACACATTACAATGCAAATTTACAGTGCCTTTCATGTCAAGAGGATGTTGCGACGCGGTTGAGTGATATTTCGATGCGGTTGATAATCCTGGCTGGGTAGCCAAACTGAGGGTGGGACCCGAGGGGGATGAGGAGGGGAAAATCACCAAAGGTGTGGTGGGGGGGGGGGGGTTGGAGGGGGAGCTTGAATCAGGGGAGGAACATAGGTAACGTTTACTATTACTACAACAACAAAATTACATTTATAGAGTGCCTTTCACGTCGGGAGGATGTCCCAAAGCGCTGAATAGTCAGCTGTCGGGGCCCGAGCATGGGGGAGGGATGGTGTAGGGATGAGGGAAGGCAGAGAGGTGGGAGGGAGACCAAAGGCACGGTCGAAGAGAAGGGTCTTGAGACCGGCCTTGAAGGATGTGAGGGAAGAAGCGAGGTGAAGGGACCGTGGGATGGAGTTCCAGAGTGTGGGGGCAGAGAGGCTGAAAGCCCGGCCACCGATGGTAGGACAGGAGACATGGAGTAGGCCATGACTCCATGGAGACATGGAATAGTTCAGTCATCACCTGACTGAAGCAAAAGTAACCTATAATGCTCATCCTGATCTTTTTGAAAAAGGATGTCACATTTGCCACTCAATAGGGCACAATTTTATTTCCCACAGAATTCTGGAAAATTACAGTCCTAGCAGCTGCTAATCTTCCAGAGTTTCAGGGCGTAGTAGCTAAAAGCACGGCTACCAGTGGTGGAGCAACTTGATAAGTAGGAGGTGCGAGGGCATGAAAGGATTTGAAAATGAGTGAGAGGATCTTGAAATCGATCCGTTTGGTAATTGGGAGCCAGTGGAGCCTGGCAAGGACTGGTGTGACTGGGTACGGAGTTTTGTGCAGGTGAGTATCTGAGTGCCGGAGTATTGAATTTTGTGTATGGTGGAGCTGGAGAGACCAACGTGGGAGATGAACCCATAACTTTCTGACTCAAGTCAGCTACCAACTAATAGTTTTAGCAGTTTATTGTTCTGCATATAATGGATGTAAACATCTTCTGCAGGTTTTGGATCTGTTGTTCACATGTACCCAGGCAACATGCCTGCCAGAACAGCAACAGACAACTTTGGTTTTCCAAAATTATTTTATGATCATCTGTACGATTTTCCTATCAACAAGCTGAGCAGTCTTCTCTCCGAAACGTTCTCAGCCGAGAAAGAAGCTTCACAAAATCTAACTGAAGCCAGGGTGGAAAAAGGCAATGGATCTGCTCATGGGAGCCCTAAGAGCACAAGCCAAGGTACAAGGGAGATTGGTGATGGCAATAAAATGGATGACAACCAAAGCGTGGAATATGAGACCATGGATGTAACTTGTGATGAAACAGAAAACAAAGAGAGAAATCCATGCAGGAAATCCAATGTAAGAACAACGGCTACTTTTTGTATTCTGCCCTCCTCTCCTGTTTCCGTTTTCTTTCTGCTAACATGTGGTTCCACAGAAGCTGAAGCCCTCGATTACCTCACCCAAGGACGTGTTCACCTCAACACTGAATGTCGGCATCAAGACATCACAGCTGAGCCTCATCTTTGTTTCACCCAACAATCGGTCAGGCTTACGCTTCAGCATTGTTTCTAGATGGCATTCGGGGCAGGAATTTTGGCTGAATTTCCTCTCCCTTAAACCAGTATGATGAGGCCAGTTGGAGTCCTGTAGCATAGTGGTTAACACGCTCGCCTCGCAAGTGAGAGGATCCAGGTTTGATTCCCGGGCAGGGTGAAACTTTAGGCAAGTTTCCCTACTCCACACATCTCTTTTTACCTAGCAGTAAATAGGAACCCAGTTGTTGATTGGTGGATCGCTTTCTGTGGGGTAATAATTTCTTTAAAAAATTATAATAATAATTTGGTCCCTCAATCCACAGCTGTTTGTGGGACACTGCTGTGCATGATTGGATGCCACATTTATCCCACAAATACAGAGTTAATTTACTTTACAATATATTCTGAAGTACTTTGAGACATGTCACTGAAGTGATAAAGCACTATATCAAATGCAAGGTTTATTATTATTGTCTCATTCAAGCTCCATCTCAAGACCCATCTCTTTTGACTGCGCTTTTGGTTACCTATTCCCCCCCCCACTCCCACGGCTCCCAGCCCCAGTTCAGGTGCCCCATTTATCACCAGTGTCGAGCTCTTTGAGATGTCCGCCTGATTATTTAAAAAAAAGGACTACATGAATTTAAGTTGCAGTTGGAAGTGTTAAAATTCTAATATATACAGCTTATATCCTGGTATTTGAATAAGATTGGCTGAAGAGCCACTAGTGTGAGTGATTAATTCTCCTTGTTCACTAGTGGACACTTAATTGCTATAGACTTTTCTGGAAGATTTCAGACTGGAAAAAAAGCAGTCTATATTGCCTGTTGACATCTTACACTTGGAATAAGCTTTAAAGTCAGTCATCTGTTACTACCTCAGACTATTGCAGTCGTACAAGAACAACATGCATTTAGATAGCTCTCTTCATGTAGGTTAACGACTCAGTGACCTATACAGTGGTGTGGTTGGATGCTGAGCAAGAGGGTGTCCATAGGCTTGGTCGAAGAGCTAGGATTTCAGGTGGGATTTAAAGATCGATAAAGAGCCGGCAAGTCAGAGGAATGGAAGGAAAGAATTCCAAAGATTAGGAGCGTAGTGGCTGAAAGCGATGGTGGCTCAGAGGAGTCGGGACACACACAGCAGGCCTGTGCTAGCTGAGCTGAGTGAAACAGGTGGATAAGAGGACTGGTGGTACGAGCCGGTCAGAGAGGTAGTGTTGGGATTTCCGATCCCGTAATTCGAAATATGACTCGACAATTCAAATATGGTGTAGCAAGGTTTATTATGAACAGAGTGAGCACAACATGCATTAACAAGTATACTACAAATATCTAACAAATTATACTACCAGTCTTTGTAGGCAGTCACGGAACACCTTCCTTGTACTCCTTAAAGGGAACTCTCCACACTGGGCTCTCTCTCTTTCTCTCTTTTTCTCTCTCTTTCTCGCCTTCCTGTTCTTCTAACTGTTCTTACCTAGAGGTGGGATAGTTATACTCTTTTTCCAAGTGGCCTTTTCCTAGGGCCCCTCTACCCACTTCTGATACTGTCACGTACTCAGGTTAATGAATCATTTGGCTTGGTGCCTGACTGAGTCTCCACGAGGTTGTCCCTTTGTCCTGTCCAAGATAGGTGTGGATCAGTTTAGAGCTGTATCTGGTGTTTGTTATTTTATTATGTGGGATCATTAGTCCATTCCTTTTAAGTGAATGGTTATCTCGTATCAGTATCCCAGGATGGTACCAAAGTCCTCCAATTTAAACAACTCGCTCGTTAGTTTGCTGTTCTTGAGGATTGCCTTCTGTCGCTTGGCAGGCCCTGTCAGAATCTAGAGATTTAATGCTAAGCTGAGATCCTGTGTCGACTGGTACCTTGGACCGTTACCTCTGTGGGTTTGTTGTTATTTACTGATACAGTGGTGACCCCCTGCCCTTTTCCAAGGCTGTCTTGTTATTCCTTCAGAAACAGAAAACCAGATGTGTCCTATCCCATGGCTGTCAGTATTTTCTCCATTTTGCATTTGTTTAATGTTTCATTATTATTAGACTACAACTTCTATAATCTAACAGTAGGGAGGTGCTGGGGTGTGAAGGGATTTGCTGAGAGTGAGGTTTGGTTCAGATACGAGGATTGGGGTGATGGATGTGTGGAGATTGGTGTGGTTCAGGATTAGAACAGTCGAGTTTTGTATCGGGTAAATCCTGTGGGTGGTGGAACTGGGTAAAACAGCAAGGAGTGAGATATCAGGAAATAGTGAGTACAAACCACTAACAGTCCTCTCCGACCTACTATCCCCCTACTTACCTGCCTGTACCCTCCGTTCCTCTGGCTCCGGTCTGCTCCACATCCACCGCCCCAACCACCCTACCGTCGGTGGCCGGGCCTTCAGCCTCTCAGCCCCGAGGCTCTGGAACTCTATCCCCCAGTGCCTTCGCCGCTTCCTCCCTTTCCTCCTTCAAGGCCGGTCTCAAGACCTTTCTCTTCGACCGAGCCTTCAGCTCCCCTCTCGACTCTCTACCCCCTTCTCGCTCCCTCCCTTCCCTCCCCTCACCCTGACCATTTCCCCCTCCTCGCTCCCTCCCTTCCCTCCCCTCACCCTGACCATGTCCCCCCTGCTCGGGTCCTGACCCAACTGTCCAGGGCCTTGGGACGTCCTCCCGACGTGAAAGGCGCTCTATAAATGAAATATAGTTGTTGTTGCTTCATACCCTATTTTAGTTGCTCCCTCCTACTTCCAACTAAACCCATTTGTGTCACATTTTATTTAGTGGTTTGTACTCAACCGCATTGTTAGTTCCTTCCTACAGGAGAATACATACTGTTCAATAATAATTCTTGTATTATATAAAGCACCTTATCACGTTGTCATAGATGTTTCAAAGTGCTTCACAGAATATGTTGTAAAGTGGATTCACTATATTTTGTGGGCGAAATGCGGCAGCTAATTGGATACAGCCGTATCCCACAAACAGTCATGGATTGAATGACCAATTTTTTTGTCGGGATTAATTCCCCCTGGAAAGCAATCTGCCAATCGACTAACAACCGGGTTCCTACTTACTACTAGATAAACAGATGTGAGGAATAAGGAAACTTACCTAAGGTTTTGCTCTGCCCGGGAATCAAACCTGGGTGCTCTTGCTTGCAAGGCGAGGGCGCTAACCAGTACACTATGGGGTTCAAATCCTGTATATTGATTTGTATTTTCAGATTTGTTTAAATTTCACATATACTGCCAGTAGATGGTGTTACAGAGGGATGAGCAACAGGCAGCCAGACTGGGTGTCTCCCTAATTCTGGGAAAGCCAAACTAAATTTTAACCTCCCCACTTAAAAACAGCACACTGAACAAGTTCTGGGATTGAAGCCAGCGAGCTCCTGGCCTGCACTACACCATCAATTTAATATTAAACCGAGGTGCCGTCTGCCTGTCGCTGAAAATTCCATGGCACTATTTGATAAAAAGGAGTTTCTCTTTCACAGTGTCCTGACCGACAATCCCCCAAATAAAATTTGTCACTCACTTAATAGCTATTTGTGGCTGTGTGCAAATCAATGGCTGCATTCTACTGCAAGATACACAGTCACTGCAGTTCACAGTATATCCTGTGAAGTGCTTTGAAACATCTTAACAGAGTGATAAGTGCTGTATCAAATGCAAGAATTATTATTAGAATACGTTTTCCAGATTTTTGAAAAAAAATTAAAACGAGTCCACTCTCTCATCAACCCTTCGCCTATTCAGCACAGTCCAGGCTTCAGGCTGAGATGTACATGTGTTCTTCTGTGCAAACTGAATTCCCATTTTTGGTGACAAATGTTTCTTGGTAGGTTGAAGAAAGAAATAAGAAGCAGGAAGATCGTCTGAAGAGGCTACAGGCTGCTGCTGCTGTGTTGCAAGAGAGGAATGCAGATGGGTAAAATGTTTTCATTGCAGAATGATGAAGTTCACTTGCATGTTGTACCTGTGTTTAAATACTAGCTCCCTCACCCATTACTCTACTTTTGCTCCATATGCTTCACTATTTTGACGCAAGTATTTATTTAACTAGACAAACAGCTTGTCCCAGCCGAGCAGTAGGTCTTATCTATGAACAAACATCTGTACGAGTCAGATGTTGGCAGTGAGCACAAGTGTGTTTGTGCGCGAGTTTCTCCTATTTGTCTCTGTGCCTCTTTCTGCCTATCACTCCCTCATTTCCTGGCTCTATCCCACTCTCTGTCCCTATTCCAGCCCCACTCCCCCACCCATGCATTTGTTCACTGTGTGATTCTCTCCTTTTGTATCTCAATTTCCCGGTAGTTTATCCCATTGGAACAAATTGAAACATGATAGTGATATGAAACAGGCAGCAGGTCTAAGGCATTCCATTACAGTACATATCGGCTTATGTTGAGTCTATGAGATGTATTTGGTTATATTTCACGCCGCAAACCAAACTTATTTATCAAACATGACATAATTTGGTCACTCAGCCCACGACTGTTTGTGGGACATTGCTATGCATGATTGGCTGCTGCGTTTTGCCCACAAAATATACAGTCATTTCACTTTACAATATATTCTGTTGCATTGTGAGATGTCTCAAAGATATAATGGAACGCTATATCTAGTGCAAGAATTGTTATTATTATTCCACCACAAACTTTCAATCTTATTTCTGTCGTTTTATTTTGTATATTTAAGGTTTCACGGTCAATATTAAAGCAGTTGACCGTTACCTGCGTGAAATAATCAGCGCCTTGGGTGCTTTACAAATGTAATTTTGTTGTTGTTGTTAATGATGATAAAAAATGTGTGTATTTCTTTCACCACAGGTTAATTATAGCAAGTCGTCTTTATCCGAATCCCTTACTACTTTCTCTCTTGGAGTTTGTGGCCCCATCTAGACCTTTTGTTGTCTACTGCCAATACAGAGAGGTAAAAATCAATGTTAAATTTGGCTCAAGACTACGCATTCATTTGAAAATATAATTCTGTTTATTAATGTTTTCTTTTCTCTTTAGCCTTTAGTTGTATGTTATACAAATCTACGAGAAAGAGGTGGAGTTGTTAATCTGAAGTTGTCTGAAACCTGGCTGAGACATTATCAGGTAAGATTTCAGCAAATTCTATAGACTCATCGGAAAGCAGATTGCTGGAATACATTTTCAGTGCCCTTAAGATCAAAATTTCCAGGTATTTAATGTCTTAGTACTTTGTCAGAATGTTAGTTATATTCAGGACTTTGTTTATTTTTTGGTTAGACAGGTGTCTGATGCATGTAGAAACCCATCACCATGGCTAAGCACTCGCTTTGCAAGCGAGAGACCTGGGTTCGATTCCCGGCAGGGTGAAACCTTGGGCAAGTTTCCTTACTCCACATGTTTGATAATAATCCCTCAAAAAAAAAATTGATCATTTCAATCCATGACTGTTTGTGGGACACTGCTGCATTTCGCCCACAAATATAATAATAATAATGATCCTTGCATTTGATATAGCGCTTTTCACGTCGGGAGGACGTCCCAAAGCGCTTCACAGAACACACTATAAAGTGAATTGACTGTATATTTGTGGGCGAACGCGACAGCCAATTGCGCACAGCAATGTCCCAAAAACAATCGTAAATTGAAAATGACCAATTTTTATTATTGTTTTGGAGGGATTATTATTAGGCTCTGTGTGGAGTAAGGAAACTTGCCCAAGGTTTTGCCCTGCCTGGAATTGAACTCGGGTCTCTTGCTTGCAAAGCGAGTGCTCTAACCACTGAGCTACAGGACTCCATATACAGTCAATTCACTTTACAGTCTATTCTGTGAAGCGCTTTGAGACGTCTAGAAGACGTGAAAGGCGCCATATCAAATGCAAGGATTATTATTATTTAAGAATATCATGGTTATAAAACATTATTCTTTATTCAACAAGTAGTATTCCACAAACAGAATTTCCCAAATATGACACAGCAATGCAAAAATAAAGACAGAGATCATAATTAGACAGAAGTTGAGAGGCAATATGATGAGAGTTGTTTATCCCTTATCAATGTATCTTAAATTTGCATGTTAGCCACAACCCCTCCTTATTCAATCCTTATACCTTACGAGACTTTGCTTTCAATTGCAAGCAATACAGTTTTAGCTGGTTAAACTCCAAGCAACCAGCCTTGGCTTTTGACAACCTGTGCCTAACAATAATATTAATTCTTGCATTTTATACAGCCCTGAATCATATTGTGGAAAGTCTCGAAGCACTTCACAGGATATACTGCAAAGTGGTGTGACTATCTTATAATCTCTCGAATTGGGAGAGTGGGTCCCTCCAAGGAAAGAATGTGCATTCCATTCCAATACAGGGAAATTGTCATATGTAGGTAGCGTATGCATGGTCCTCTGGTTTGGATACTCCTTAGCATGGTGATGGGTTTCCACATGTCACACACTCGGCTGGCCAAACAAATTTCTTCTGTTGATTCACATTTACTTCTTCTTCCTCCTTCAAATGCTTATCAGATTTTGCCAAATCGAACACACCCCAGGCTATCTATGAATGGGGGAGGAGGCTACATCCTGACCGGTATCACGGTTGCCATGAACAGAGTGAAATCTGCTGTCAGAACTGCGGAGCCACAGAAAGCCGATGAACCTGTGGCTAAAAGGCAGAAAGTGGAGGAAAACAAAAGCTAGTTTTCTACACGTGTACTACCTCTTGCTATTCCTGGGATTGCTCTTGTTATCAGAACTTATAACTATAAAGTTCAAACTACAAGACTTTCTTTTTATAAACTACATGTATGATTTTGTTTTAGTACGCTGTACTATTCTGCTTAAAGTGAACAGGCCTTTAAGGTTTCAGTGATTCAGATCAGCGAAGAGAAGCTAGGGCCAGTTCTTTCAATGCAAAATATAATAATAATCCTTGCATTTGATACAACGCCTTATTACGTCGTTGAGACATCTAAGAGTTTTGCAGGATTTACTATAAAGTGATGCGACTGTGTTTTGCGCGATACAATTCTTTGGGGGGTGAGGCGGAAGAGGGGCGAGCGAATGAAGAAATGTTGGAATCCAGCACAAGGGTTTGAGGCTTGCTGTGGTAATGGAGCTCTCGGTGATGGCACCTTCCTAGCAGCCTGCCAGCGTTGGAGGATGAAGGTGCTGATCGTGCAAAGTGTTTTAGCTGCTGCTTTATTTAGAAACACTCTTCGATTAATTTGAATATTTGTATAATTATCATTTTTTTTTTTTTTTTTTTTTTTTTCTTTTTTGTATTGTTTTTTAATTTGTTGTTAATTACTTTAGTATTATCAGTCTTTTTTTTTTTTTTTTTTTTTTTTTTTTTCCAAGTATTAATTTTTATGAAAGCAGTAATGTTATGAACATACTTCTCACTTAATCCTCTCTATCTCCTTCTCTTAAACAATGTCTGATAGGTAGTGAATTATGCATGCTCATTCGTTCTTTAACACTGTTTCTCATTCTTTTTTTTTTTTTTTTTTTTTTTTTTTTTTTTTTTTTTTTTTTTACATGTTTCCTCTTCACTATCTATAGAGCTGAGCGGGCTCTAAGGTGACGTGTTTTGCAACAGGATGTTGGAATCCAGTTAACCCCCTTGTTAGGGTCTCAATAGTCCCGTTCTGGAGCTAGGTGGGTGTGCAGTATTCCAGGACAAACCAGCCAATCTGGCAGAACTTGAAGGGACAGGCGGTGTCACACTGAGAACAGGGATTCCTCCCATCCTACGTCTATAAATACTACAAACCAAAGCTCTAACCAATAGGGTTTTCAGCTAAACAAGCAGTAGGAAGCTTGCTGGACAATACTTTCAATGGCAAGCTATGTGTTGTTAGCTGGTTAAACTCCAGTAGTTACCCCAATGTACTCTGAGGTCCCCAAGCCTTGGATCTTGCCAATCTCTGCCTAAGTGGAGTCCTGTAACTCAGTGGTTAGAGCACTCACCTTGCAAGCGAGACACCTGGGTTCAATTCCAGGCAGGGCGAAACCTTGGGCAAGTTTCCTTACTCCACACGCCTAATAATAATCCCTCAAAAAAAAAAAAAAATTGGTCATTTTCAGTCCATGACTGTTTGTGGGACACTGCTGTGCGCAATTGGCTGCTGCATTTCGCCCACAAATATACGGTCAATTCACTTTACAGTATTCTGTGAAGCGCTTTGAGACGTCGAGAAGATGTGAAAAGCACTATATCAAATGCAAGGATTATTATTATATAATACTTTCTGAAATTAGATAAGTAGGCTGCATATTTCTAGGGAGAGAGCATTCCGCAGGAAAAGATTCATGCAAGTTACTGTCTAGTTTGAAAACTTAAGCGTATTGGTTTCCTCGTAACCAAAATGAATTGAAGGTCAATGCATTTGCAACTATAAGTTCCCATTTAGAGTGTTAGCTGAATTAATTGGGAGAATTGTTGACCTGGACCAACCTTCTCATGCACAGATGGAAGTTCTGCCAAGCTGACCCATTTTGGCTCGCTTTTTCTACTACCACCACCAAAATAAAAAATAATAATAATCCTTGCATTTAATATCGTGCTTTTCAAGTCTTTGAGACATCTCAAAGTGCTTCACAGAATATTACTGTAAAGTGAATTGATTGTATATTTTGTGGGTGAAACGTGGCAACCAATTACGCACAGCAGTGTCCCACAAACAGTCGTGCACTGAAGTGAACAATTTTATTATTGTTTTTTTCTTGAGGGATTATTATCAGGCATGTGGAGTTAAAGAAACTTGCCCAAGGTTTTGCCCTGACAGGTGATATACCAACTAGCTTGTATATATCACCTGTCATGTAAAATGTCAGGAATCAGTCAAACCTCTCTGTGGTGCTGTTCTGCTCCCCACCAGCCCTGAGTCCCTCTAACTCCCTCCGTCTCCTCGTTCAAGGCACATCTCAAAACATACCTCTTTGCCTGTTTTCACTCATCTTTCCCCTCCCATACCATTCGTCTCTTTGCCCAGCTTGGGTCCCCACCTTTGTCAATAATAATAATAATAATAAGCCCTTTGAGGTGTTGTCCTAACATGAAAGGAGTTGTTTTAATGTAAATTGTATGGACATAATTTTGGTTGATGACATTGCCCATTTTGCCCTTATAAAATATACAGTATATGTAACCAAAAACGTACATATTAACCAAAATCCTCCCGATGTGAAAAGCGCTGTATCAAATGCAAGGATTATTATTAAAATAGAAATTTATATTGATGTAAACACAGACTAGGCTAAGTAAGCTAAATTAGATTGCATAGTATTACCCAAGCCCACCTCCAACCACCCAAACATATGCACAGCAAATTCCAGTCAATCCTGTGAAGTGCTTCGCAATATCTCAAAAACGTGTTAAAGGCTATATCAGTTGCAAAGATTATTACTATTATAATCACAGTGGATCAATTCACTCTGAATAGCTTCTCTGATCATAATCATGGAATGTCCTACTATTTCCCAAACATGAAGCCAATAATAATTATAATCCTTGCATTTGATATAGAGCCTTATCACGTCTTGAAGATGTCTCAAAGTGCTTCACAGATTATGCTGTAAAGTGAATTGACTATATTTTGTGCACAAATGCGGCAGCCAAAGATTATTACCCCGGAAAAGTGATCCGGCATTTGACTTGCAACTGGGTTCCTATTTACTGCTTGATAAACAGGCGTGTGGAGTAAGGAAACTTGTCCAACTCGAACCCAGGTCCTCTCGTTTGCAAGGCGAGTGTTCTAACCACTAAGCTACAGGACTCCAATATTACCATAACAAGATTGATTCTTTGAAAATGAACCATCTCATTGCAGAGGTGTCCTTTTAACTTTTGACAGCTATGGCCTTTCCCCTTCCTACCTCTCTGACCTGCTGACTCCCTACCAACCTGCCCGCTCCCTCAGTTCAGCGGGCTCCGGTCTGCTCCATGTCTCCCGCCCAACTCGTCCTATCATCAGTAGCCGGGCTTTCAGGTTTCTGCCCCCACACTCTGGAACTCCATCCCACGGTCCCTTCTCCTCGCTTCCTCCCTTGCCAAAGCTGGTCTCAAGAACCTTCTCTTCGATCGTGCCTTTGGTCGGCCTCCCACCTCTCTGCCTTCCCTCAACCCTACACCATCCCTCCCCCATGCTCGGGTCCCGACACCTGACTATTCAGCGTTTTGGGATGTCCTTCCGACGTGAAAGGCGCTCTATAAATGTAATTTTGTTGTTGTTACTGTTTCCTAAGTTGCCATCATTTGCTTCTCCACTTTTAATAACCTCAGTTCACTGAATTAATTTTGTATCACAATATGTCATGTCACTCGAGACTCCTCTTAAAAAGGCTATTCCTGGAACGTAAATTAATATTCCTAACCTTCAGGGAAGAGTTCCTGGAAGTACTTGTGTGAGATGTATCAGTATCACATCACTGGCAAGCAATTGAAAAAGCATTCCGTTGGTTACAAGTTGTTAGGGTAATGCAAGTAAGTAACCATTTTGCAAGAAATGCATTTAGGGTAGTCTTTCTGCCCCACATCTGCTTCATGACCTGCTCTGCCTTTCCCCATTGCCCCAACGTCGCCTGGCTCTGCCACTGTCTCACACCTCAGGCCGCCGAAACCCTCATTCATGCTTTCATTGCATCGAGGCTCGACTATGCAAACTTATTGCTTGTCGGCCTCCCCAACTCCTCCCTCCACAGGCTGCAGATTATCCAGAACTCTGCAGCCCATGTCCTTTCCCGCACCCAGGCACCATTACCCTATCACCCCCATCCTCGCCCAACTCCACTGGCTTTGCATCACACAGAGGATACAGTTCAAGATCCTTGGTCCTCACCTTCAAAGCCCTCCACAGTCTCGCTCCCCCTACCACTCCAACCTCCTAACCCCCTACCATCCTGCTCGCTCCCTCCACCCAGCAGGCCTGCTTTACGACCCCTGCCTCACTCACCCCATTATGGGCGGGCGGGCCTTCCGCCACTCTGCCCCACCCTCTGGAACTCCATCCCACAGTCTCTCCGCCTCGCCCCCTCCCTTGCCACCTTCAAGACCCATCTCAAGACCCTCCTCTTCAACCGTGGTTTTGATCTCCCTGCTTCCCCCCCTGCCCTCCATCCTCCTGACCCCCAGCTCGGGTCTGTAACTCTGTCCAGTGCCTTGGGACATCCTCCGGACGTGAAAGGCGCATTACAAATATAATTTTGTTGTTTTGACACAACACACATTTAAATTCTGCAGTGTTGTGAACTTTTTGGTCGGCTGTATGTCTGAGACATGCAGAAACCCATCCCTGTGCAAATGTTATAATCTGGAATCTGAGTTTGTGAATACGTGTTCATATCATCCAGGACTTGAAATCCACCTTGATGGGTTTGCAGAGAGATAAGCAGATGCTGCTCAAACTCCAAACTTCCAATTGGAGGAACCATCACTCAATGGAAAGGGATGTGTATCTGAGTTGTGGGCAGGAAGGTGTTGGCATTGCTCTCACGCATTTCATGCTGAGCTGGGCTGCTCACCAGGACGCTCAGAGGGTATTGAGATACAGATCAACCATGAGCTAATATAATGTCCAACAGGCTTGAGGGGCTGAATGAACCATTCGTGTCCTATGTTACAATGTTTACTTAACTGCTTTATGTATGTAGGTCACCCACACACGGAAATTTCTACATGTCTGGGATGAAATGTACACTCTCCCTGAAGGGGAGCATCCCACTTACCTAATTATCGATAGTATTAGGCATGGGTTGGCAAGAGCCAAGACTTGGGAACCCCAAATGTGTATGTTGGAGTAACTCATTTGTCTTGACGATGTAATAAGGTGCTACATCAAATACAATAATTATTATTAGGCAGAAATTAGAAAGACGCATGTCTTTCTGTGTGTGTTGGGGTACTTCTAACCAACTAAAAACACATAGCTTGCCATTGAGAGCACTGTCTGCCAAGTTTTCCAGTTGTCCGTCCAGCTAGAATGTGACTAAATAGATGCCAGGAACTCCGTGTGAGTTTCATGGTGAGCAGCACAGCTCAGCATGAGATGTGTGAGAGCATTGCCACTATCTTCCTGCCCACAGCTCAGATACACATCCCTTTCCATTGAGCGATGGTTCCACCAGTTGGAGGTACAGAGCTTGGGCAACAGCCTCTTACCTCTCCGCATAATAATCAAGGTGGATTCCAAGCCCTGGTTATATGAATGCGTGTTTGCAAATCTAGCAGCCCTTGTTTCCTCATCAGTTTACAGACATCTGCCTTCA